TATATATATATATATATATATGTACATTTGTTCTGTAGACTATTGAGAAAAAAAAAATTGCTTAAAGAGGCTAATAATTTTGACCTTAAAATGGTTCATAAAAAATGAAAACTGGTTTTATTCTAGCCGAAATAAAACAAATAGGACTTTCTCCAGAAGAAAAAATATTATCAGACAAACTGTGAAAATTTCCTTGCTCTGTTAAACATCACTTGGGAAATATATATATAAAAAAAAAAATAATAATAAAATAAAAATTCAAAGGGGGGCTAAAAATTTAACTGTCCGACTTCAACTGTATATAACACAGTTGAAGATTATATATATATATATATTATGTCAAAACAAACTTTTATTTTGGATGCGATTAATCTTTGCCCAGCAGTGCCAGCACTAATATTTGAGAAAATATTTATTTATATTAATATATGATATATAATATTAATAATATCCTTTTCATATTATATGATATTTATATCTAATACAAATTATAAAGTAAATATACAAGTTAAAATTTGGCTTTGAATTTTCTTTATTATTTATATATAAACAATAATTATACACAGTGCGTGCACATATTCTGTAAATACAAACTTTTATTTTAGTTTCAATCAATCATGAATAACCATTTGACAGCACTAATTTTCAACGATTTCAATATATTTCTAAATATATATTAAAAGCAGCCTCTGCCTTTTTCTCTTCTCTTTTTGTCTTTTTCCTCTTTACTATTTGTTGTACATTGTTATTTTTAATTTCAAATAAACTGATGCAAATACAATTGTGTTTGTTATTGTATAATATATTCATATTTTAGCTGTATCTCAGTAATAAGATGGTTAAAATGAAGTAAAAGCACATTTTTGTTATTGTCAGATATGCTGGTGCGAAGGTGGTCCTCCTGTCACCTTCTCAGCTGAAGGAGCGATTCCCCTGGATGAACACAGAGGGCGTCGCTCTGGCTTCTCTTGGTCTGTGATCATTTTTTACTTTTATTAAGTCTCATCTGATCTTCTTTACTGAGTGATGTATTAAATCCTCTACAGGACTGGAGAACGAGGGCTGGTTTGACCCCTGGTCTCTGCTGAACGCTTTCAGACGCAAGGCCTTGTCTATGGGAGTCTATCAGTGCTTCGGAGAAGTCACAGGTTTGACTAATTATTACTATGCTGACATACATATACTAGTTTTTATAGAGACTATATGATGCTAGGTATTTATTTTCCTGAAAAAATAAAATATTTAGCTTGTATATGATCTGATTTTTAAAATCAAATTGGTTTATTATTATTCAGGGTGTCTTAAAATGATTTAAAGTTGATAAATCAATTTAGAGAAATTTAAGGCCTTTAAAAAGTATTTAGAGGTCTTAAATTCTGTTTCAAGTTATTTATTTTATATCATTTTTGATCATACAATGTATAGTTGTATGCCAAAATTTGCCTGAATGCTGTGCAGTTTATGAAATCATAAAAATCCTGCTACATTTGACGTCAGCGTTTCTTTTGTTTACGCAGTAGCGCAACGTTGTTTCTGCTGTTCTATAAGCGCCACCTGCTGGCTTAACATTTTTATTCACCATACGAATAATGTTTTAGTTTAGGATTAGTTTTTTAAAATCATTATTTAGTGAAAAATACTGGAAATTTATGTCGCCAATGTTACCAGTCGAAACCTAAAGTGGCAATGAGGCCCTAAAATGAATAGAAAGAGTCTTAAAAAGGTCTTAAAAGGTATTGAATTTTACTCTCTGATTCCTGTATATACTCTTTTATTATTATTTAACGTGGAACAAATTATAGATCTGGGGCCTCGTGTATCAACACTACGTACGCACAAAAACTTTGCGTACGCCAGATTTCGATTAAACGCACATTGCTATAAAGGCGCCATCTGAAGACGAATGTGCATAGTTGAATCGATACATTTCCATTCAATAAATGTGCAAATAATATGTGATGCTCAAATGCGCATAACATAATACACTCATTAATGATTCCTACTTGTCTTCCTTGTGATGAAGAGTAGCCAAAATCTGATGATGTAGTGGGTGGAAAAAAAGAAGAACGAGTTCATCAGACGCTGTATTCGAACCGGGTTCATGATCGAACGTGTCAAAACATGTTGCCATGCGCTTCACGAGCTACGCCACAGGGGTCGCCACAGCAGAATGAACCGCCAACTTATCCAGCAAGTTTTTACGCAGCGGATGCCCTTCCAGCCGCAACCCATCCCTGGGAAACATTCACACACACATTCACACACACACTCCTACACTAGGGACAATTTAGCTTACCCAATTCACCTGTTCCGCATGTCTTTGGACTGTGGGGGAAACCGGAGCACCCGGAGAAAACCCACGCGAACGCAGGGAGAACATGCAAACTCCACACAGAAACGCCAACTGAGCCGAGGTTCGAACCAGTGACCCAGCGACCTTCTTGCTGTGAGGCGACAGCACTACCTACTGCGCCACTGCTTCGCCCACGCTGCTATAAACACTGTAAAATTTTCTGCCTTTACATCAGACCATTTCTTTTTTGATTCACTCACAGTGCGATGTTCAGACCCAACTGCGTTAACCGCGTTAGCTAAACTCTCCCACTCTATTTTTTTCTTTTGTTATTAATTCCGGAGGACAAACTTGCAAATAACACCGTTTTTCTCCGGTCTATCTCCGAAAGGAGCAACTCCAATTCACATTCTGTTCACGTTTTCTCTTTTTGCTTGCTTTTTCATTTGGTTTTGCCAAAGTAGAGTCATTAGCACAGGGCTATTCAATTGGCAGCCCGCGGGCCGAATCCGGCCCCCGAGGCACTTTGTTCCGGCCCTCCAAACAGTGTGACCAAGACATCAAACATAAATTTAGTTCAGTCAACAAACGGCCGCTATAGTTTTGAAGTTACGTGCATCTGTTCAGTAACGGCACGAGCTGCAGTTAAAGGCTGCACAGAGCGCGAGTCATCATCAGCGAGTGGTGCGGGCAGCCGAAAACATGTTTGTAGAAAAGGCTATTTGTACAATGCACTGATATCGTTTATAGGGATGTGACGATTAGCCGATTTCACTATTAACTGCGCTTTAATTCGTCACAGGTTATTAATCGTTAAGTCTTCTCTGAGCGCATTTCTGTTGCACGGAACGAAACGAAACCGCTGCAAAATGCCAAGTTGCCTGTGCGCCAGTTTTAAGTTTGAAGTACACCGAGGCTAATGTACGCACACAGGATTAACTATAGCAGCGGACGTTCCCATATCACGTCTTTTCCGCTTATAAGTTTTTTATTTCTAATGTAAGAATATATGACAATATCCGGGCGCACGCAGTAGAAAACATCTCAGGCTGAGATTGTGCATGCCTTTCAGTGCAATGTAAAGAAAAGATATGTTAGACAAATTATTATTAACATGATTATGTATGCATGAACGCAGATGGCAACAACAGTTAATCTAAATAGCTACTTACCCAATATAAAGCTTGAAATTAAATTAGGCGTGATAACCGTGAAATAATGATTATTTTTCAGATTATTTTATATAATCGTACAACCAAAATCTATAATTGTTGCATCCATAATTGTTATGCAGTTCAAAACATGACATATGAATGTGTCTGAATGTAGCCTACTTCAGCAATGCACTGCTTTTGTTGTGCTCTGAAATACAACATTTGAATGTTTGTAAAAAAAAAAAAAAAAGTTTATCGTACAATGCACTGATGTTATGTAGTTTCAAAAGACAATATATTAACATTTTAATGTAGAAAAAGCCAACGTGGGTTACTTAAGGAGCAAAATATAAAGCATGTGGACTCCTACGCAGTTGTGTCATCACTTATATAGCAAGTTAAATCTTTCCGGCCCTTCGTTTGGGATGCTTTTCATGAACCAGCCCCCATGACAAACTAAATGAATAGCCCTGCATTAGCATATTCATACGGGGGAGGAGGCAGGGAGGGGTTTTGCGCTCGTGCACGTGCGCTCAGTTTTACATTAATTCAGATGTACCAAGAGAATATGCATGGGATTCCATGTACGCAGTGGTTCATACATCTGAATTTTTAACTGCGTACGCACATTTACAGCTTTGTTTGTACGCAATGTTTTAGTATGAATTTAACGCAAGTCTTCGTACATGAGGCCCCTGGTCTATAAAATCTGTTTAATGGACTAGTCTATTTTAGATCTAATTTTATTCTTTTTTAAATATAATATTAGCCATTAGTACTTATTCTTTGGCTAATAATTTAAACTACGGTGGCAGAGAGAGCTCAAATGTGCTTATAATTCGTATTAATCTGTTGAACTCTAGGGGAGTTGAAAAACAAGCCTATTTCAAAAAAACTAAGAGGTTTGTTTGTAAAAATTCACCTTGTATTGATCGTTTTAAATGTGTTTTTTAGGTTTCAGATACAGCACACAGATCGCAGAAGTTGCAGAGGGAGACTTTGTTGATTTCAGAAGGATAAAATGTGTCAATGTAAGTCTTTACACGTACATTAAGCTTTTCAGAAAATGCCGTGCTTATATAACACACTGTTTTGGACCTAAAATGGACTGCTTTTAAAATGAGCATTAATAGTATTAATAGTAAATGAGGTGCTGTTCTAGGTGCGGATGCCCAACAGTCTGGAGTATCAGCCAGTCGAATGCCCGGTTGTGGTAAACGCAGCGGGTGCAAACTCGGGGAAGATCGCTGCCATGCTGGGCATCGGATTAGGCCCGGAGGAATCCGTATCTGGAATTCCATTTCCTGTGGAACCCAGGAAGAGGTCAAGACTCAAGATCACCTTTTGGGAATTTTCTCACAAACAGTGGCTGTATAGTTATTGGCAATGACTCACTACTTGCTTGGATGAATAAGTATTGCCAATTATTCAGAAATGTATTTTAAAAAAATATATTATTATTCATACAATTATTAATAATAGTAATCACCATCATTTGTAAAAGTAAATTATTATTCATACAAATAAATAAGCAGTAATTCTAAATATTCAGAAGTAAATGTTTAAATAATTGCATTAATATATTATTTAATTCCTAACGGATTACCTTTAGTATCACATAATTATTTAATTTTTGTTTAATTATTATATGGATTATTGTTGTTATTATTATTAACTTTATTGCCAATTATTCAAAAATGTAATTTAAAAATATATATTATTGTAAAATATTATTGTAAAAATAAATTATTATTCTTATAAATCATTTTATTTGAATTTAAATGAAAAATCAGTGGTTAAAAATATTCAAAGTAAATGTTAATCATTTTCTTTAGTATATTTTTTTTATTCCTAATGAATAACCTTTAGTATTACATAATTATTACATTTTTATTAAATATTTAGTTAGTATATAGATTATTACTATAATTATAATTAACTTTATTGTCAATTATTCAGAAATATAATAATACAAATATTATTATTAATAAAATATTGTTGTAAAAATAAGTTCAAATAAATTCATATATATGAATAATAATTTAAGTGAGCAATTAGTAGTTCTAAATATTCAGAAGGAATTTGATTGAAATAATTTTATTATTATATTATTTTCTTCCTAATGAATTACCTTTAGTATTACATAATATTATATATTTTTTTTCTTTTTTTTGTTAATGTATAGATTTTTAGTATTATTGTTATTACTAATATTATTAACTTTTATTATGATGATCATTTTAACCTTATTTAATTTTATGAATGTATTCTAAGTAACTTAATTATATATTTTATTCTACGTATATTATTAATGAAGTTTTGTTCTTTTTAAATTATAATTTAAATATTAGAACGACAATTTATTTGTAAAAGTAAATCATTATTTATAGAAAATATTTCAATTTAATTTAAATTCACAATTCTAAATATTCTGAAGTAACTAACTGTTGAAAATATGCATTAATATATAATATTACTCATTCAATTATTTTCTTTTCGGATCAGTCCCTTTTTTAATCTGGGGTCGCCACAGCGGAATGAACCGCCAACTTAGCCAGCACGTTTTATGCAGCGGATGCCCTTCCAGCCGCAACCCATCACTGGAAAACTTCCATACACACTCATTCACACACATACACTACGGACAATTTATCTCACCCAATTCACCTATAGCACATGTTTTTGGATTGTGGGTTCCTTTATTATTCAATACTTATTTACATTTTATGTATTATTCCATTTTATATATTATGTATATTTCCATTTTTTATAGATTATAATATTATTGCTTCATTCATTATTATTAGTGCTAATAATTATTATATATTATAATTAATGCTATTAAAAATTTATATTATTTAATTTATAAGTATATTCTAGTATTTTAAATTATTATAATATACAGACTTTTTTTTTTACTTTTTTTTTTTAGAAAATATATTACATTATTAAATTAAATGAAGTAAGTTTATATTAATGAGCAGTTGTAAATATTATAACTACTCCCGTTCATGCATTCATTCTCCAAACCTCTTATCCTCTGTAAGATTGATCGGATGCCGTATGCCATCACTAATTTATTATTGTCACCAAGTTATTAATTATAGTTTGTAAATTTAGCTCCAATCTAATATACAAATGATATATTATTAGTAAATCCACCGATGTCTCCTGCAGGTTTGCTTATGTGGTTCATTGCCCTGATGGACCGGGTTTGGACACTCCGTTTCTGATCGATTATTCAGGGGTTTACCTGAGGCGAGAGGGACTGGGAGGAAATTACATCGCAGGAATGTCACCAGAGGAGGTACAGACACTGAAATGGAATTAGCACCATCTGCATTCATTCATTTCACACATTTTTTTCATGATTTGATGCATGTTTTGATGCAGACAGAAGAACCGGATATCAGTAACCTGGATGTGGACCATGAGTTTTTTCAAGAGAAGGTCTGGCATCATCTGGCTCACCGAATTCCTGCTTTTGAGAAGCTGAAGGTGAGATTTAGCATGCAAAATTGTTCTTTTTTTATATGCATAATGTCTCATACAGATAGAGACTTACAGATCTTACACATGCTTCATATTTAACTGCGACTTTCAGCCATCTGTGGCATATTTTCAGTAAAATACAGTCAATGTTAAAGTAAACATGTTGCTGCATTCTGCTGTATTTGTCAGGTTTCAAGCGCGTGGGCTGGATTTTACGACTACAACACCTTTGATCAGAATGGTATTTTAGGACTGCACCCTCTAGTGGCCAACATGTACTTCGCCACAGGCTTCAGCGGTCACGGTTTACAGCAGTCTCCTGCGGTGGGACGTGCCATCGCTGAGCTCATTCTGGACAGAGGATATAAAACCATCGACCTCAGTGCTTTTGGCATCAAACGGATCATCAAGAAGAAGCCCATACTGGAGAGAAACATTGTGTGAGGAAGACGGTATGTGCAGGGAAACTCGCTGGAGAAACTGAAGCGATGTTTCAGATGGTGATTCAGTTAAGTAATGAAACAGAAACTTAGATTATTGGGAGATTAAAGGGTTAGTTCACTCAAAAATGAAGGTTCTGTTAACAATTACAACTTGTATAGCATATGTTTTACACAGCGGATGCTTTTCCGGCTGCAACCTAGTACTGGGAAACAACCATACACACTCATACACAACAGTCAATTTAGTTTATTCAATTCACCTATAGAGCATGTCTTTGGACTGTGGAGGAAACCAGAGCACCTGGAGGAAACCCACGCCAACTCGGGGAGAACATGCAAACTCCACACAGAAACGCCAACTGACCCAGTCGGGGAGTCGAACCAGCGACCTTTTTGCTGTGAGGTGATAGTGCTAACCACTGAGCCACCATACTTTACTATAGTATGGTTTAAAAACACTATAGTATTTTTTAATGTGAGTTTTCTGAACGTCTGACCATTGCTGTCTATTGAGGATGAGAGAGCTCTCTGATTTCATCTAAAATATCTTCATTTGTCTTCTGAAGATGAATGACGGGAAATTGAAAAGGCATGAGGGGTAGTAACTGACAGAATTGAGATTTTTGGGTGAACTAACCCTTTAAAGAGGAAAGTGATAAATGCTGCTGGAGTTTCAACCAAATTCACCGTGCAAAAAAATCATTGCAATACCAACAAGAGATCAGGAGATTCAGTTGCGTCTTTGAATTTGCATATATTTGAATATGCATACGACAGATTCATCTTTTAGACTGTTTTTAGGTTGCCATATTCATAAAGTTTCAGAAATGAACACCAAAAACAATCGTAAACTTTAAAAGTTTGTCTTCAAATTTAAATCAGACCTGATGGACTGAATTTTATAAATGTGTACATGTTATTGTTTGTTAATATGGATGTGAAAACGCATAAATATTGTGGAAGAGCACCAACAAAGATCCGTTTTATTCTTGCATCATTTTATTTCCTTGGGTATTTATGCTTATTTTCTAGGAGGGAAATCATGCAAAAGTTTGAGCACCCCTGATTATTACCATCATTTCAGTTTCTAATCTGCTGGCTTTTGGATGAACAACTTTTTCGTTCTGAAATACCATTTTAGTCACATAGATTATTGTTTAATACCACTCTTCTACTGAATTTGTGAAATGGCTCTGCAGCGAGCACCCTCTCACAAATAATAACTTGACTTCTAGTTGATCATTTGGAAAAGTGGCAGAAGGTTGACTTTTTTGATGAATCATCTGTTGAACTGCATCTCAATTATCACAAATACTGCAGTTACCCACATGGACCCCGCATGGACCCAAGATTCTCACAGAATTTTTTCAAGTTTGGTGAAGGAAAAATCATGGTTTGGGGTTACATTCAGTATGGGGGTGTGCGAGAGATCTGCAGAGTGGATGGCAACATCAACAGCCTGAGGTATCAAGACACTTGTGCTGCCCATTATGTTACAAACCACAGGAGAGGGCAAATTCTCCAGCAGGATGATGCTCCTGATACTTCAGCCTCCACATCAAAGCTCCTGAAAACGAAGAAGCTCAATGTGTTCCAGCATTGGCCAGCCCAGTCACCAGACATGAACATTATTGAGCATGTCCTCAGTAAGATGAAGGAGGAGGCATTGAAGATGAATCCAAAGAATCTTGATGAACTCTGGGAGTCCTGCAGGAACACTTTCTTTGCCTTTCCAGATGACTTTATTAATAAATTATGCAGATATGTATGTATGCAGTCCTCCAAGCTCATGGGGTCAGACACAATATTCATTCTTCTTCCACTGCACCATGACTTTATATTCTATACTGGACATTATTTCTGTTCAGTGACAGACCTTACTGTCCTAATGAAATCATTAAAAATCAAGGCGTGATTATATTTTATTTTGGTAAAATAAGCGTAATCTAGAGGCCTTTGCTTTTCATATAAGCCTCTTCTGTTACTAAATGATCAACTAGAAGTCAAGTTATTATTTGTTGGTCCTAAAATTGGATAGGCGACAAGACTTTTGTCAGGTAGTGTATGCTTTAATATGTATAGAATCATACATGTAAATAAAATACATATGTTCACTTACAGTAAAAGATTATTTATGTCAGTTTATTTTCACACACACACACACAGGTTTAATCAATCCAGCAGAAAATCACTTTGCATTTAAAAGGATGGACAGTTGACCCAAAAATGAAAAGTCTGTCATTATTTACTCATCCTCCATTTAATCCAAACCTGTTTGAGTTTCTTTCTTCTGTTGAACAAAAAAAAAAAAAAAAGATATTTTGAGGAATGTTGAAACGGAACAACCATCCCTAATAAGGTTGCTTTTTCCTCCAACAATCTTCAAAATATCTTGTTTTGTGTTCAACAAAGTAATAAATTCATAAAAGTTTAGAACTCAAAGTGTGAGGAAATGGTAAGGAAATTTTTATTTTTGGGATGACTGTCCCTGTAAGGCACACGTATTTACAGCATCTAAATAGTCAATAAAATGTAAAGTGCCGTAGCGCTTTAAAATAAGAAAGTAAAACTATGACAGCTAAGCAATCCCAGCTAAACAAAAATGTATATTTATCCTTAAACATGCAAGTATGTAAGTAAGTTAAGTATAAAGAACCATTATTGACCTATGGAAGAACATCATATACAAATAATAATGATGAGAGAACTCAGATTTATCTCTTTGCCTTCTTCTGAAACATCTCCTTGATGGATGGACTCGCTTTGCGCTTTTCACCTGGAGAAAAAAAAACAAGCATCAACATCATAACCAAAAGTGTCAGGAAATAGTCTATATACATACATACACTCACCGGCCACTTTATTAGGTACACCTGTCCAACTGCTTATTAATGCAAATTTCTCAGTCAATCACATGGCAGCAACTCAAAGCATTTAGTCATGTAGACATGATCAAGACGATGTGCCGCAGTTCAAACCGAGCATCAGAATGGGGAAGAAAGAAGATTTAAGTGACTTTGAATGTGCCAGACGGGCTGGTCTGAGTATTTCAGAATCTGCTGATCTACTGGGATTTTCACACACAACCATCTCTAGGGTTTACAGAAAATGTTCCAAAAAAAATAAAAAATCTAGTGAGCGGCAGTTCTGTGGGCAAAATTCCTTGTTGATGCCAGAGGTCAAAGGAGAATGACCAGACTGGTTCCAGCTGATAGAAAGGCAACAGTAACTCAAATAACCACTCGTTACAACCGATGTCTGCAGAAGAGGATCTCTAAACACACAACACGACCCACCTTGAGGCGGATGGGCTAGAGTAGCAAAGGACCACAGCGGGTGCCGTCCTGTCAGCTAAGAACAGGAGAGTGAGGCTAAAATTCGCACAGGCTCACCAAAATTGGACAATAGAAAATTGGAAAAGCGTTGCCTGGTCTGCGACATTTGGATGGTTGGGTCAGAATTTGGCATCTACAACATGAAAGCATGGATCCATCCTGCTTTATCCAGGCTAGTGATGGTGGTGTATTGGTGTGGGGGATATTTTCTTGGCTCACCTTGGGCTCATTAGTTCCGTGTCAACAACACAGCCTACCTGAGTATAGTTGCTGACCATGTTTATCCTTTTATGAACACAGTGTACCCATCTTCTGATGGCTACTTCTAGCAGGATAACGCACCATATCATAAAGTGTGAATCATCTCAGACTGGTTTCTTGAACCTGACAATGAGTTCACTGTACACAAATGGCCTCCACAGTCACCAGAGCTCAATCCAATAGAGCAGCTTTCGGATGTGGTGAAACGGGAGATTCGCATGATCATGGATCTGCAGCAACTGTGATGCCATCATGTCATTATGGACTAAAATCTCTGAGGAATATTTCCAGTACCTTGTTAAATCTGTGCCACAAAGGAGGAAGGCAAAAGTTGGTCCAACCCGGTACTAGTAAGGTGTACCTAATAAAGTGGCCAGTGAGTGTAAATGTGAATAATATGAATATTTCTATGTCTAAACCATTACCTTTGTTGATGGTTTTGTCTTCTGGTGAGCGTTTCGCATATGCTGCTTTCATTCTCAGAATGTTCTTTTTATGGACAACCTCATGATCCACAATAGGACGAGGGTAGTCTTTTCCGACAATGCATCCTGCTCTCTCCTGAACACTCCGAGGAGCTTTCCAGGGTTCATAGATGTACTCGGTGGAAAACTTCTTCAGCACCGGCAGGTATTTCCTGGAAGACATGCAAGATAACATTTAGGAAATAGTTCACATAAACCATATTTTGTGTAAAATGTATGGAAGCCTGTTTCTGCCACTGAATAAATAAAATCTTTTAAAAAATTATGAAGTCAGAACTGCGAGTTAAGTTATAATTCAGAGTTCTAAAGTCGCAATTTTGAGTTATCAAGTCAGAATTGCGAGTTATAAAGTCAGACTGCAGTTATAAAGTCAGAACTGCGAGTTATTATAATTTTTTTTTTTACAATGTATTTATTTTAATTTATTTTTTTTATTCAGTTTTTTTATTAAGTATTGCACTGACGTACAAATGACGAATTGTATTTAAAGGAACACACCACTTTCTATGGAAATAGGCTTATTTTACAACCCCTATAGTTAAACTGTTGAGTTTTACCATTTTTGAATTTATATAGTGCGACGGGAGCACTTTTAGCTTAGCTTAGCATAGATCATTGAATCGGATTAGACCATTAGCATCTCGCTCAAAAAAAAAAAGTGTTTGATCATTTTCTTATTTCAAAAGTTCGCACTTAGCTGATGCTTGATAAGGTAAATGTGTGTTTGATGTGCTGTCCCAGGAGAAAGCCCTCAGTTTGGAATCCTCAAGCCTGGGGCTCCCTCCTTTAGTCAGGAGAGAGGGGAGTCTGAGCTCAGCTAGGTCTCGAGAACTCCCGTTAATTGGCTAGGAAAAGAATGGAAGAAGTTGGAGTGGATAGGGGGATTCTTCAAAAACGAAGATGACTAAGGTAAGGAGAGTGAACTATTTACGTGTATTTAGATTCATCTGATTGGTTGGTCATGTGATTGTTATTGCGAGCCCAGTGGTAGTCAATCATAAGCATGTGATCCTCTTGAAATTTCTACACTTAAGTAACACTTCTGTAGATACAACATATACTTTTTTGCATTTGAGCGAGATGCTACTGGTCTAATACAATTCAATGAAATACAATTGATGGTAAGATAAGCTAAAAGATCTCTCACCGGACACAGATATCAGCTGAATGGCTTCAATGGTAAATGGTAAAACTGAACAGGTGACTTGTAAAACGAGCCTATTTCCAAAACAAGTTAAGTGTTCCTTTAAAAATAATGTATAGTGTACCCTAAATTAAAAATGGATCACTCCACAATATTTCCACTATTCACCGATCACAATTTTGAATAAGAATAAAGCAAAATTTAACAATCTTAATACAAAAGGAGGCGTAAAGTTGTTCTAAGGCAGGGGTGTCCGAACTCAATCCTGGATGGCTGGTGTCCTTGAATGTTTAAATCCAACCCCAATCAGACACACCTGGGCCCATACTAGGCTTTAGAAACATTTGTGTAGATGCGATTAAAGCAAGTTGGAGCTAAAATCTGCAGGACTCTCCAGCTCCGGCTCTCCAGGATTGAGTTTGGACACCACTGGTCTACGAGGTCGGATGCATGTACACAAATTGCAAAAAACTTGGGATAAACTGGATTCATTTAAAGGGATAGTAAAGGAAATAAAAATGCAGTTATTATTTATTCAACCTCCCCTTGGTCTAAACTAGTTTGAGTTTTCTTTCTTACGCTGAATACAAAGGAAGATATTTTGAAGAATGCTGGGGGGAAACAGCTATTACTTCCATAGTATTTTTTGTTCTTACAATGGATGTTTGGCTGCTTTTCCCCCAACATGATTCAGAGTATCTTTTGTGTTAACAGAAGAAATACATTAGAGAAAATGGGCTGCATGGTGGCGCAGTGGGTAGACCAATCGTGTTAGTGGAGTTTGCATGTTCTCCCTGTGTTCATGTGGATTTCCTGCGGGTGCTCCGGTTTCCCCCACAGTCTAAAAACATGCAGTACAGGTAGGGTAAATTAAATTGTCCATTGTGTATGAGTGTGAAGGAGTGTGTATGAATGTGTCCCAGTGATGGGTTGCAGCTGGAAGTGCATCCGCTGTGTAAAACATGTGCATTAATAAAAGGACTAAGCCGAAAATAAAATGAATGAATGATAAATGAGGATATTTTGGGGTGAACTATCTCTTTAAACTAAACCAAAAAAACAGCAGCGTGTGTGAAATTAGCAACAAAAGGATGTCTATTTTACAAAAGGAGTATCAAAATAAAACAAAACATGACTTATATTAAGAATGCAGATAAAAACTAACTTAATGTAATCCCCATGTTTGTCTGTTTTCTTTCCAAAGGCGATAGGAGAGTAAACTCGGAAGTACTGATGGAAGAACGTGCTGGCGGAGAGCCACTGCCAGTTTCCTGCATTCAGCGACCAATCAGAATCCAGCAGCAGCTCCTCGAACACCTTCAGATGAGAGTGAACAGGTTTATGATGATATCTGAACCAAGCTTATTTTAGTAAACAAAGACTAAAACTACTGGCCAAAAAGGCATTTTTGTTATAGCTGAAATCAAATAAATCACAATAAATGGAAAAATACAACTTTCAAAAGTCACTGGACAAAAGTACTGAAATAAAATTATGATTAGCAAAAATAATAACAATTGTTTTCAGAATTAATAAGCGCTCATTCTGTGGCAGAAAACTGACCTTAGATGTAGCAGCAATAAATGGCAAAAATAAAATTTCATCTTTTCTTAAAAAATGTTAACTAAAAACACGATCTTTAAATAAATATTTGTCTTAATTCTTAGTTCAGTGTCTGTTCAAGCTATCAATTTACTTTTATTACTAAGAGATTTGCACAAAAGTTAATGTAAGCTGTGTTAACTCTCCAATGCGGTGTTCACACTAGAATATTCACATAAATAGACGCGTGAACATTTTGAGTTTATGCATTTCATTCATTCATTTTCTTTTCGGCTTAGTCCCTTTATTAATCTGGGGTCGCCACAGCAGAATGAACTGCCAACTTATCCAGCACGTTTTTACACAGCGGATGCCCTTCCAGTTGCAACCCATCTTTGGGAAACATCCACACACTTATTTACACACACACACACACACACACACGTACACTACGGACAATTTAGCTTACCCAATTCACCTGTACCGCATGTCTTTGGACTGTGGTGAAAACCGGAGAAACTCGTGATCTTCTACAAGCGATCTTCTAGCTGTGAGACGACAGTACTACCTACTGTGTCACCCTACACATTTCATTTGCGCATCGAATTCACTTCATTCACGCGTCAAATTCACCTCACAATAGATTCAGATTTGCATCATGGGCAGGGCTTCTGTCTGCCTGGTGACTAGTTTCGTTGCTAAATGGCTAACATGGATTTTATTAAGATAGTACTTGTGCGTTATGTGCTTTTGGAAGGGTGAAAAACATCGTATTTTCATTCGGTGCCATGTCTGAATCCACTAGATCCTTCAGAGGTGCACCCAACTATTGAGTTCATCAACTCCACAAACTATACCTGGATGATAGAAGCTTTCAGCAGTGCTTTAGGCCTAGCCCAGCCCAGTTTGATAAACTGTTGTCTATTGTCAGCTTGAGGATATCCCCCCTCAGGATACCAACAACAGGCACTACGTCATTATCAAGCTCCTACCAGAACAAGCTCCTGATTGGTTAATGCGGCGCGAATGTCCGCTGTAGTTCAAATTTTCCAACTCAAGTGATTCGTGTAAAATGGTCAACTCATGAATCATTTCCTAATTTCTGTTTAATGAAAATATTTTTCCAACACATTTCTAATCATAATAGTTTTAATAACTCATCTCTAATAACTGATTTATTTTATCTTTGCCATGAAGACAGTAAATAATAGTTGACTAGATATTTTTCAAAACCCTTCTATACAGCTTAAAGTGACATTTAAAGGCTTAACTAGGTTAATTAAGCAAGTTAGAGTAATTAGGCAAGTCACTGTATAATAAAAAAAGAAAAGAAAAAATTCCTTGCTCTGCTAAACATCATTTGGTAAATATTTGAACAAGAAAAAAAAAAGTTTGCAGGAGGGCAAATAATTCTGGCTTCAACTGTATAGAAGTGTCAAAGAAGTTATATAAAATGTTCACAATATATTCATCAAATTTAAACGTAGTGTCAAAATAAAAACTAATTTAAATACATAACTATAATAGCCTTGGTCTGAACTATCAGTGTTTTTCATAGCTAGTAAACAGGCCCAACACAAACCTTCTGGCCCTCCTCCCAGCTGATCCACAAGTCACCTCGGGTCAGAAAACATGCGACCGCGTGCCGGGCCAGATGGTGGATCCAGCCCTCCTGTCGTAACTGAGTCATGATGGCGTCAATGAAGGGAAACCCGGTCCGAGCCTGAATTCACACAATCAACATTTAGACTATAAACAAAGTTCATCAAAATGGAGATCAGTTAAAACAATGTTATACATTACCTGAAAAAAATCTTGTTGACTATCCAAGTTTACCATGAACAATTAATAACTTGACTTCTAGTTGATCAATTGGTATTAGAAGTGGCTTATATGAAAGGCAAAGGCCTCTACACTTATTTTATCAAAATAAAATATGATCATGCCTTGATTTTTAATTATTAAATTAGGACAGTAAGTTCTGACTTTGCTAAGACAAAAGTCTTGTCACTTAATGGAATAATGTCCAGTATAGAATATAAAGTCCTGCTGCAGTGGAAACAGAATGAATATTGTGTCTGACTCCATCATGAGCTTGGAGGACTGCATCCATACATCTCTGCAATGACTCAAATCACTGATTAATAACATCATCTGGAATGACAAAAAGTGTTCTTGCAGGACTCCCAGAGTTCATTAAGATACTTTGGATTCATCTTCAATGCCTCCTCCTTCATCTTACCCCAGACATGCTCAATAATGTTCATGTCTGGTGACTGGATGGCCAATCTTGGAGCACCTTGACCTTCTTTATTTTCAGGAACTTTGATGTGAGGGCTGAAGTATGAGGAGTGCTATCCTGCTGAACAATTTGCCGTCTCCTGTGGTTTGTGATGCAATGGGCAGCACAAATGACTTGGTACCCCAGGCTGTTGATGTTGCCATCCACTCTGCACTCGCATCCTCACAACACATGCAAATACAGAAACGCACTACAAATAGTGCAGACCACAACCGAACCCCCAAAAAAGTGACGAATGCAACTGCTTTCTGTTTAGAGTCAGTGGTGTTGTCGGAGATCTAAAAGATGAGGGTTTTTTTGTTCATTTTATCATCCTGGTTGTACGCTTCCTTTTTATATAAAGCGATGTTCTGTATGTGCATGTGTTGAGGGAATTTATAAATTGTCTAATTGATATCTTAGTTGCTCTTAATTTTAGGCCCCTAAAACTCAGTTTACACTAATACGTTTTAGTTTTAAAATGCATAAGTTTAGCTACGGTTACGCCTTCTGTCCACACTCCCCCAGAGTCTTTGAGCCCCAAAAACAGATTATTTTAAAAATGCTGAGAAGTCCGTTTTCATTTTAAATGCGCATCCAACGCTTCATTTTTGACGTTCCGTGTCAGGGTGGATGAGGGAAAATGAACACATCTGAAAACGGAGCCGTGGCTGCAGACAGTTGCCATCTGGATCTTTTCCCTCAATAATAAGTTCACAATGTTCAGTCTTGCATCCTTTCCTTAAGTTCAAACTTTGCAAGAGCCTCCACCGCTGAGACTGCAGCTCTGCACAAGACTTTTGGCCAGCAGAGAAATTAAAATGGTCGTGCCCATCTGAGTCTGGTTTCTCTCAAGGTTTTTTTTTTCTTCACTCTCCTATCTGTGAAGTTTTTTTTCCCCTCTCCGCTGTCGCCACTGGCTTGTATGGTTCAGGATCGTTAAAGCTACACATCGATGAATTGGCTCTTCAGTGTTTGGAGTCTCAGTAATGATTTAAACCACACTGAACCAAGCTAAACTGAACTGAACTTAAACACTAAAAACTGAACTACCATGATCCAGTTACTATGACCATTTATGTGAAACTGCTTTGACACAATCTACATTGTAAAAGCGCTATACAAATGAAGCTGAATTGAATTGATATGGCTAACAAACTCCCGAGGACACATCGGGTAAAAACAGTGTATTTTATAACACCATTCACATCACCCAGGCTATGTTGTTTCACTTTCTCAACAATAAAATAAAAACATGCTATTAGGAACTGCCTATTTACATTTTGATATTAACTTAACAGACATTAAAAATGTTAAGCCGTTGTGTAGCTACATATTTATATGACCGTCATCTTCACTGTATGCATAATAATAACAAAACAGAGCCTAATTAGCAGTACATTTGAGCTCTCTATACGTTGTGTTCCATTTGAGATCGTCAAAATTACTTTGTGATAAACCATAAATGTACTTTGTTATTATATTTTGAAAGCACTATAAGCTTATATAAGCTAACTTTACCTCTCTCCATGCTGCGAGGTGCTCAGGATTGTTGTCCCAGTCCACCTGCACACAGGCAGAGTTTCCCTCCATTTTGTTGAAGTTTGGGATCCCGACGGCAGTCGTGTAGAAAAACTCTCTCCACAGCAGCTGGCCATGCAGAGAAACCGGAGGATCAGAGTGTGTCTTCTGCAAAAAAACAACACACTTTCAGCCACACCAGGATCATGAACAGGTACAGGTGTCCTATTATACTTTATTTTTTATTATTTTAAATCAGGTGTATTTGCAATTTTGCATTAACTAAATAGCATTCATCAAATAGCAGAGAACTTCATTCCTGAATGTGTCTATAAAATAGCTCAAAATTGTATAAATGATTGAATATAGCATGCTGTAAATGCCCTTGTTGCCCATTCATTTTGTGTGTCTTTTTAAGGGGGACCTATTATGCCTGTTTTACAAGATGTAAAATAAGTCTTTGATGTCCCTGGAGTGTGTATGTGAAGTTTCAGCTCAAACTACCACACAAATAATGTTTTATAACTATTTGAAAATTACCCTTTTAGGCTTTGATCCTAATTCTGCCTTTTTGGTGACTGTCGCTTTAAATTCAAATGAGATTGTGCTCTTTTCAAAAGAGGGTGGAGTTACAGATGTCTGAGTGTCAGCATAGTGGCAGATTCAAAAACAAGACTAACGTCCTATGCTAATGAGGGAGAGATCATCACTACTGGGCGGGGCTTTCCTAATCTAAAGAACCCAACAATGAATGTCAAAGTGTTTCTGCAGACTGTTTTTATCAAGCTTTTGCATTAGATATTACAGCAACAACTAACAAAATATAAACGTGCGTTTTTGCAGCCTTGTCGATCACACATGCACTCAAGTTGACAAATTACTAATGTAACTCAAGCAGGCACACACCCCTCTGTACACGTCTGCGAGCCTCCACCAGAAGGTGCGTGCAGACAAGCAGCCGAACCGGACGTAGGGGCTCAGGACGGTGGTGCTAGGGATCAAGGAGTTTGGGGACGTCTTTGGCTTCTCAAACTTGCACACCCAGTTCTACAAAAAAAAAAATAAATAAATAAATAAAAATGATTACTTAAATGGCAGGAATGACTTTTATATTGTAATAAATGGTATATTCGCTTGATGTAGCTACTCAAGTAAAAAACAAATAATAATAATTAGTATTCGACACGTCATAGGATTTCTGGAAAATCACAGTTTTTTTTAAAAGCTCTATTACATAAGTTAAGGGAATTGTTGTTGTTATTTTGTCGAAGTCATAGAATATCAAGAATCACTTTAAACTTTAGTTTCCATTTATCAAAATGTTATTTTTCTGTACCATTTTCCTTTGTTTTGAGACTGTTATGGTGGCACAAGATTTTGTTTTAATTATCCATTGCTGTTCTTATAATGGCTATTAAAGGCATACAAAATGACATTCAAGGTTAAATTGTTATAAGAATGTTTTATTATTTGTACTAGTCATTTTAATATAATATTATTAATACATAAGCACAACAGTGACTTGTTTTTTTTTTGCTTCATTAGATGTCATGAAAATTCAACATTTTAGTATAAGAAACTAAAGGAAATGTCAGGGAATATGATATTTGGCTTTGTTGTGAATTTCTCTAGTCTGGCTCAGGGCACCAAACAGTTGTGAAATTCTAAGACGAGCCCAAAAAACCAGGGAGAACTTTCGGTATCTTCAAAGCAGATTCCTTTTAATAAGAAGAACTCAGCATAACTGTGGCGTCATCGAAAGAAACTCTCAATTGGTACAACAGACACTCCGTTTAAATACATTTGTTACATGTCGGTGGAGACGGTCTAAAACAAAGCATGCAAATGAAGTGTTGTTGTCGGCAGGGTAACATGTTTTTCCAGGCCCGATCTCATCAGCATATAAGTACCCATTCGGGATACATTTTAGCATTAAAACAGTGTGCTAATGATGTTCCGGAGACAGAAACCGCCCGATCAGTTGATCGACTGGAGAAAAAAATAGACACTGCTGTGCTGTGAAACTGACAATTTGCATAATCTAACATTTTATTATTATTTATTGCTATCATAATAATACTATCACTGTAATTATTATTTATTGCATTGTCATTGGAATCACCAAATGTTGATCTCAGTTATATACAATTATACATTCCATTTATATACAGTTGAGTTTTTAGCCTTCCTGTCTATTTTTTCCCCCAATTTCTGTTTAACGGAAACTATTTTTCTCAACACATTTCTAAAGATCATAGTTTTCAGAACTCATTTCTGATAACTGATTTATGATGACAGGACATAACATTTGACTAGATATTTTTCAAGACACTATTCAGCATTCAGCTGTAAGCGACATTTAAATGCTTAAACAGGTTAATTAGGTGAGCTCGAGTAATTAGGCAAATAGTTGGATAATGATGGTTTGTTCTGTAGAAGTTCATGAATATTATTAAAAGCGGCTATTAATTTTGAGGTTAAAATAGTTTTAAATATTTTGTTTTTATTCTAGTCAAAATAAAACCAACAAGACTTTCTCCAGAAGAACAATTATTATAGGAAATACTTCAAAAAGTTCCTTGCTTTGTTAAACATCATGTGGGAAATATTTGAAAAAGAAAAAAAAAATCCACAGGAGGGTTAATAATCTTGACTTCAACTGTGTGTATACATTATTTTAGAATTATTTGTGTATTTATCATGTCAGGCTTTAGATTTTCAAATAACATAAATATACTTCTGCTGCCTGTGAAATGTGTTGGGGGCTTGTACCGTTCTCTCCATGTGCTCATCTAGTCTGCGCAGAGCTTCCTGTTCACCACCCGGGAACAAATGTGGCCCTAAGGATGACGTATCCAGTCCAAGATCCTCAAGAGTTGGGATCCCAAACTTTTCTTCATGATCATCAGAAAGTGGAGTGGACACACCTTCCAGAGAGACAAGCATTACATAACGGAGAAACCCAATTATGAATAATTTAACAAGCATTCCTAAAAGATATCCTTGTTGTACCTCGCATGTCCTCGTTGGTTGGAGCAGGAATGGGTTTTTTAGGGTGACCCATGGCCTTCACCACACTTTGCAAGCGAATGTAGGTCATGGGAGTCTTGCCATTGTTCTCATCGATAATTCTGTTTGAGAACGCAGGTGAGTATCTGAATTTCATTAGAGTCTGATTGACAGATTCTACCATGTTACCTGTCGATGTTGTAGAGAGTATGAGAAATCTTTGGAGTAACTTCCACGCCGTATTCCTTGGCCAGCTTCATGACTTCTTTGTCTCTGCTCTGACTGTACGGCTCTGTATCAACCTCGAAAGTCAAACGAGTGATCTTCCATTGCTTAAAGAGCTTTGGGAGAACCTCTGTGGGCGACCCTCTGACGACAAAGAGCCTGGAGATGCATGAAACTACATATAAGCATGTTGCATGAGGAAAAAGCATATTTAAGTCTGTGTGAAATCAAAACGTGCAATGTTTATTTTGCTAACTCACATTGTCATTCTTTAGGTGAACTATTAATCTGCAAGTTAATCCACTGAATTTTTTTTTTGGTAATCTTCAATTAAATCTGAGCATTTACTTCTGTATTAGGAGAGGTGGTTCTTCTCTGTTGTTGTCAGTTTGACTGCTTTAGCCACAATAATCTTTTAAAGATTTATCTTTGGCCTTTTTGCGTTTATTGGAACAGTATTGAGACAGGAAGAGAAGTTGGAGAGAGAGAGAGAGAGAGAGGGAGGGGTGTAGGGTAAGGAAATGTCCTCGAGCCGGGACTCGAACTCGGGACGCCCTGATGTGCTACTGCACCATATGTCAGCACGCTAACCACTAGGCTACTGCGCCGACAAAGCCACAATATTCTTAACCCCACCCCTTTTAGCATTAGTGTGCTATGAGGGAATGATGTGCAAAAGGAAGCTCCACCCCCTACTCAATATTCGGTTTTAGTTGGAAGTACATCATGCGTCTCAAACTCGATTCCTGGAGGGCCGCAGCTCTGCACAGTTTTGCTTCAACCTTAAGCTAATCAAGGTGTTCAAGACTACTAGGAACTATTAAGAAGGTATGCTTAATAGTTTGGAGGTGGAAATCCTCAGAGATGTGGCCCTCCAGGAATTGAGTTTGAGACCACTGAAGTTCATCAACATGCTGAAATAAAAGCCAGTTCGCGCAGACTTTAAACTCCATACCTTGAGTTGAGTTTCTTCAGACTGGAGTCCAGATCCTTGAGGGCTTCAATGAGAAATCTCCATCGATTAATGCCGATGCGAGTGTTTTTGGGGAACCAGGGGTCCAGCAGGAACAGGGGGTAGATGTGTCTACAGTCTTTCAGAGCAGCGATCAGAGCAGGGTTATCATGCAAACGCAGCCCCTTGCGGAACCAGTGAATGGTGTTATGGCTCATCGTTGTCGCCTTTGGACTATGGAGACCTCCACACTATTAGAAAGACCGAAAAGACAACGGAAAAAAGGATTGTAAGTTTACTCAAGTTCAGCTACAACAGGGTTGCCCAAAATCAGTCCTGGAGAGGCGGAGACTAGGGTTGTCATGATACTGGAATTCGAAACTAATCACAATACTGAAATTTTTAAAGCGGCCATTTCCCGTAAACATTTGAGCGCTGTTGAGAATGTTCTTAAATCTTGATTTGCAATTGCATTTACTTGCTTAACAGAAACGACTGTGATTGGCGTGAAGGTCATCAGTTCATCGAACTCACCGCTGTTAACCATTTAAACACAGACTAGGTATGCAACTATTATAGATTTTGGTTGTACAATTATAGTCCGAGGAATAATAACGATTTCGTGATTATTATGCATTCATTGATTTCAAAACGGAGACACGGTGGCGCAGTGGGTAGTACGTTTACCTCACAGCAAGAAGTTCACTGGTTCGAGCCTCGACTGGGCCCGTTGCCGTTTCTGTGTTGCATGTTTCAGTTTGCATGTTCTCCCCATGATTGCGTAGGTTTCCTCCGGGTGCTCCGGTTTCCCCCACAAATCCAAAGACATGTAATATTGGGTAGGCTAAATTGTCCGTAGTGTATGAGTGTGAATGAGTGTGTATGGATGTTTCCCAGTGATGGGTTGCAGCTGGAAAGGCATCCACTGCGTAAAACATGTGCTGGATAAGTTTGGCGGTTCATTCCGCTATGGCAGCCGAGGGTTAATAAACCCGGAGGGCCGGTGTCCAGCAAAGTTTAGTTTCAACCCCAATCAGACACACCTGGCCTAGCTAATTAACCATTTACTAGGCTTTCTAGAAACATCCTTGCATGTGTGTTGAGGCAAGTTGGAGCTAAAATCTGCAGGACACCGGCCCTCCAGGACCAAGTTTGGACACCCCTGGACTAAGCCAAAAAGAAAATGAATGAATGATTTCAAAACACTACGAGTTTAGAATATCAAATGAAAAATTCCTTATATTTTACAGTAAAAATAAATGACAGGTTAGAGTTCACCAAGCTTGAACTTTGCACAGCTGCAACCTGTGAAACCTAACGCATGACCCCGCGTTTCTGGTCTGACGCATTCGCGTGCGTTTGAATGTAAGTCTATGGGGAAAAAAGTCAAGTGTGACCGCAGCTTTACCTGTTTTTCAAACAAGCCTAAAGGGCTTAATTAGTTTGATCAGGTGTGTTTAATTAGGGTTGGAACTAAACTGTGCAGGGCTGCGGCTCTTCTGGAAATGAGTTTAACATCCCTGATCTAACTAATGCTGTGACGACGACTTAATATTTGGGCAATAATTCCAAAATGAATGTCTAACCATTATAAAATATTAATGATGATGAAGATTATAAGAATACTACTAACAATTAATTACATTTCTCATTACCATGCTACTTGGAATTTGCTTGAATGTGAGTTATCCACTTGATAAAAACACTGCAAAAACACTTTGACTGACATCCATGAGCTAATGAGCCCCGCCCATAAACTATAATCTGCCCTCTTAAAGGTAAATTCAGCCCAAAAAATGGATATTCTGTAATCAACATCGCTTATTATTAGAAATTGGGACGCAGTTGTACCAGCTTAGATGTACCATTTTAGTGTGCACATTAAATTAAATGGAGAAAAGTTTTTTTTTTTTTTTTTTACACAAAAATTAAGGATAATAAATAAATGTGTTTGTCTAACGTTGCTTTAATAATTCAAATAGCGTTAGGAAAAGGAATGGTCAAATATATAGGTGAAATAGTGTTTCATTTCAGTTATAACAGATATAGTAGTAAAAACTGAACGTTATTATTTGGACCTACGTTAAAACACATAAAAATAAAAGAATAGTTTTTACTTATTGTTTCTTGCTGATGAACAGAATCCTTAAAATGTATTTTATTATACTACCAAATGATAAATATTCCAAACGTGCCAAACATTTGTTTTACTTTAAGCCACTTTATTATTTATTTTTCTAGTGTTTTGTGTATTAAGTCCAAGACAAGTTTCCTGAAAAGTACAAGTAAATATAACTCAACTTATATAGTAAAAGTATTTGATCTCTTTTTATTATTAACATTATTATTATTTTGGATTCAAAGTTTTACCCGTGCATCGTTCAACATTATTATTAGGTTCCTCGTACATTAACGTTAATTTCCATCGCTTGGTTGCGTCTATGTAATCAAACATAGAGACATTCTGAGACAACAATGCGTTATAACTCAACTCTGCATGCTCTTTAGCTATTTTAATTAATATATATTCATATATTTGTCAGTACTTACGAGTCTTCTGATTACGTGAGCTCTGCTTTGCGTTTTGTAACAGCTTCCCTGGCGTTACAAAAGATGTGTATTTCAAGCAGCACGTGTCCGACGTGTTCAGCCAATCAGTGACTGTTTACATGACACCCCCCCATGGGCCCTGCTAACCAATCAGGATGCTGTCGGTGAGACATGCGCAGTGGTTGATTCGTTCATGAAGTGATTTTCTATTGGTTTGTTTCAGCGCGGTGAATCATGGCGGAAAGCGAGAACGGGAAAGACGGCAAAAGCGCTGCAAAAAGACCGAAAATAGATGCGGAAAACGAGAAAAGAAATGCTGATGAACAGTCCACCGATAACCCAGTGGTAGACTTCCAGCTCACCCGCATTCTACGCGATAATCCACGAGAAAAGAGCATCTTCATTCACGGAAAGGTGTGTATGTGTTTGTGTATGTAAGGTTGTGTATGTGTATGGGATGTTGTGTAAGTGTAACATTGTGTTTGTGTAGCTGTGTGTGGTTGTGTGTGTAACGTTATGTGTTTGTGTATCTGTTTGTGAATGTGTAATTTTGTGTAAAATTATATACGTGTAACGGTTATGTGTTTATGTAACGTGTTGTGTCTGTGGTATGTGTAACGTTTCGTTTGTGTTTGTGTATCGTTGTGTTTGTGTATGTGTAACGTTATGTGTTTGTGTTTGTGTAACAATGTGTTTGTGTACATGTTTGTGTGTGTGAAACGTTATGTGTATGTGTAACGATTTGTTTGTGTATGTGTAACGTTTTATATGTGTGACCTTATGTGTTTGTGTATATGTTTGTGTGTAACGTCATGTGTATTATTGTGTTTGTGTAGGTCTAACGTTGTGTGTATGAGTGTGTGTTTGTGTATGTGTAACTATGTGTTTGTTTATATATGTGTGTAACGTGTATGTATAACGTTTTGTCTGTGTATGTTTGTGTAATGTTATGTGCATATGTTTGTGTATGTGTAAAGTTTGTGTGTGTGTATATATAACGTTATGTGTTTGTGTATGTATCATATGTATGTGCAACGTTATGTGTTTGTGTATGTGTAACGTAATGTGTTTGTGAAATCACTGTAGGAAATCTTTTAATTGAGCACCCAGTGGCTATTATATATTCAGTTTACTTTCATTTGGATTCCAGCACATCGGTGTCAATACACGGCAGTACTTCTGTTCTGTCTACTTTTTTACTCATACCATAACGGTATTTATTTATTTGCTTCAATAATGTGTTCTGTTATGCTAGTAGAAGCTATTAAGGTAAAGATAGGTTTTATATTCGCAAATTCATTTTATTTCTTGGACAAATAGTGCAAAAACATCAGAACTATACTTGCACATTGAGTGATCATTGTAAAGGCTGCAGTAGTTGAATGTTTATTGTGTTCTAGGTGAAGGATCAGGATGCTGTTGTGATCCTGGAGAAATCTCCGTTCAGACAGGACTCGCTGCCTGAGTTACTAAAGACTAGTCAACTCAAGCTGGAGATGCAGAATGACGTGTATAGCACATACCAGCTGCACGCACCGCCACAACTCAATGGTAGATCACAATATGTTGTTGAAATGTGATTTATTCCTCAGATTCAAAGCTGCATTTTCACCATCATTACTGCAGGCTTTAATGCCAAATGATACTTAAAAAAATCATTGTAATATACATATTTACTGTTCAAGAAACATTATTATTATCATTATTAAGGTTTTTATTGTATTGAAATATTTGCTCTTAAATAATATTCTTCTGTGACATTATTATTATTATTTTTTTTTTTAATGTCCCATGGTGATCACAAATTTCGATATCTTATTAAAAATATAATCTTTCTGACCCCAAAAGTTTCAATGGTAGTTGGTATTTTTCTTTGCTGTTTACTGCTTGATTTCCTTTTTTTGACAGATTCTTTTGTTTTTGTTTGCTGTGTCTCAGTTATGGCTTATTTATTTTAATGTTATACAGTTATTTTAACGTAAATATGCTTTTTTAAGCAACATTTAATATTTTTTAACAAGTAATTTTCTTTAATTTTCCAAAATGTCTCTAACCTTCACTCTAATATCTAATTATTTAATATGATCTCCTGTCTAATATCAATTTATTGTATGTTATGCACATATAAATATTACTGTAAAATAACTCCTAAGATTCAAAGCTGCATTTTCATCATCATTACTTTAGTCTTTAATGTTAAATGATGCTTTAGTAATTATTATGTGCTTATTTGCTGCTCTAGGAATTATTATTATTAATATGACTATTATTATTATTATTAATATTCATGTCAAAACTGTTCCACTTACAACCTGAAAGATGGTTTCATTCATGGATTTTATGCATAGATTTTTTTTCCTTTAAATGGGAAACTTTTGTGGTGATAATATTATTAATATTGATTTAATATTAATAATATACTTAATATTCATGTTAAAACAGTTCTGCTTACAACCATGAATGATACAATCTTTCAGGATTTTTGATGCATAGAAATATTTTCCTTTAAATGAAAACCTTTCTGATATTTTTTATTTTTTATTATTATTATTATAATTTTTACTGTCACATGCTAATTACAATTTTTTTCTTTTAAGAAATATAAATTTTTCTGACAGTAAAATTCTCAATTGCTTTTTTTTCCTTTGGTGTTTTAGTTGATTTCCATTTGATCGATAATGTTTTATTGTCTCCGTTATGGTTAATTCCTTTTTTTATTACTTGTCTCATAATGATTTTAAAGTAAATATACTTATTTTTTTATTAAATTTGATATGTTTTTTTAATTTAATAATGCCAGAATTCCTCTAATATCAATTTGTTTTATTGTACCACCTGTCTAATATCGATTTATCTGCTATTATGCGCAAAATTTTATCAGTACTCTTCAAAGGATTAAAATATTGAAAAATATTACTCTAAAATAACTGTAAAACTACAGTTTATGAAGAACTTTCATGACAGTTTGATAATTAAAAGCTTAACAACCATTAGATAGAACATACAAATGACACACCACCCCCTATTAAACCAAAACTCCTTAATGTTTATAACAGAAATCAAAACAACAGTAATGTGCCCCGCCACGGAGAAGCATATTAAGAAGTATTTGCACCAGGAGGTTTTTCTGCTTGAAGAATCAGGTGAAGATTACCGCAACCTCACCTTACCATACATCAGCGGCCAGAGCTTCAGTGTGCAGGTGAGGATTCAGTCACGTCTGACCCTTCATTTCAGTGTCACACATAACAGCAAAGCTTTTACTGTGATTTCAGTGGGTGTATAACATATTAGAGAAGAAAGCAGAGGCGGATCGGATTGTTTTCGAGGATCCAGACCCTGATGCTGGTTTCGTTTTGCTGCCTGATTTCAAATGGGACCAAAAGCAGGTGAATTTTGATCACCAATCCAGTCTTATGTTGCAAGGGTATATTTTTGTCAATAAGCAATGGGTTGAAATGATGGATTACACTATGACAAAAACATTAGAATATTATGTGGATCATGTTCCATCAATATATTTTGATCATTTCCCACTGTAAGTATATCAAAATAATTCTTTTTAGTTAGTAATGTTCATTGCTGAGCACCTTTTTTGAACAAGTTAAAGGCGATTTTTCTCAATATTTCAATTTCTTTTAACCCTCAGATTACAGATTTATTTTCTTTTTTGCTTTTTTCAAATTACATAATTTCTTTATTATAACTACAGTGATTTCAAACTAAAGCACTAAAAACATTATTAGCAAGATGGTGTAAAACTGTACATTTCTTGTCAAATATCAAGTTAAAATCATGTTCTATCAGTATAGTTTCATGATTTTGTACTGTAACTGTTAACTCATTTTTAATTTCGTAATGCTCTATGCTGAACCTTAAAATGCAAATTTAAAGGCGATTATTATTTTTAAATTTAATTTTTATTTATTTTTTATTTTTATTTATTTATTTTTACAGATTTTAACTACTTTTATTACTTTTTAATTGAAAGATTTTAATGTCAACTACAGTAGTTCAAACTCTAATATTGCTGAAGCACTGAAAACATTATTGATATGATAAATTTTGAACAAATTTAAAAGATTTGAGCAAATTTAAAGGCAAATTTTCACAATATTTAGATTAAAAAAAAAAAGAGTCTTCAGAGTCCTAACTATCTACTCTATCTGTCCAAAAAGTACAAAGGGTGGCGCTCGCCCCTAACCTAGTGTACTAAACACAAGAGTAGTCCTACATGTTGCAAGATGTATGTCATGTGACCTTACCTGTCTGCTTCGTTTAAGCCTCGTAAACAACGTGAATGAGATAACGGACGGATAACATGCACACGTGCAACAACAAAAATACACAGTTAGACAGGGTTTTTCTTTTTAACGCAACACAATAACAGAGAAAAGGAAAAAAAAGAGAAGGGCTGGTTAGGGGTCTGGCGCCCACTCTTATGAAAGGGCTAATAATTTTGTCCTTAAAATTGTGTTTAAAGAATTAAAAACTGCTTTTATTCTTGCTGAAATAAAACAACAAAGACTTTTGCCAGAAAAAAAATTATTATCAGACATACTGTGAAAATTTATTTGATCAGTTAAACATAATTTGGGAAATATTTAAAAAAAGAGAAAAAAATTAAAAGGGGGCTAATAATTCTGACTTCAACTGTAAATACATTTAGATCATTTACTTTAATCATTACTTTTGGACTGTGTAGAGACTCAACCAGCACAACAAAACATGTTTCTGAAGACCATCACCTACTGCACCTTTAAATCAAAATTAATACACAAAATACTTGAAAATAAAATGCTTTAATAACATTTTGCTATGGTTGCACTCAATTAGTTACAAAATAACTGTTTGAAATAATTAAAAAAACAAAAACATAATATAAATTGAACCCAGCTCAAGTGTAAAAAGTTATCTGAGAGAGATCAATACGACAAAAGAAAATTACAATCAAAATGCATATGATCTTTTTCATCTGTTCATGTCTCTGCTAGATATTCTCCTATTTTAACAAAGTACACATCAATAGAAAGTGTATTTATTCAGCGATCAGATTATATTCAGTATAAATCTCAATAATAAAAACATATTGTGGTCATATTTGGGGTATATTTGTAAGACCAGTGGAAAAATAATCAATGTTTGTTTTGTTTCCCTCTTCAGCTACAGGACCTGTATTTGATTGCCATCGTCCACAGGAGGGACATAAAAAGTTTGCGGGATCTTACAGCAGAGCACCTGACGCTGCTCACAAACATTCGAAGTAAAGGAGAGGTGAGTTATGGGTTATACGTCAAGTTTACCACACTAATATTTATGTAGTTGGGTCTCCTGGAAGACTTTTAGAATATTGATGTCTGCGTAAATTGAAAGGTCTTTTATCAGTGTTGTCATTTATATATCTTTATTGAATAATGCTTGTTTAATAAGAAATGTTTGTTTTATAAATGATGTATTTATTACTAATTTTGCCGTGAATATTGCTAGTGCTTTTAACAATTAGTACAATTGTACAAAAAGTACAATTGAAACAAAGGTAAAACTATTATTTTGATGGTCCATTTGAGTATTAGTAGACTGTCTGCTTAATATCTGTTGAAACTGCTCCTTCAACAGACATAAGAAACTTTGCAAGTACATGTAACCCCAACCCTAACAGTCTACTTATAATCTAATGAGAATTAGTTGGCATGTAGATGCAATGTATTTTGAATTCATCAAACAGACCATCAAAATAAAGTGTGACCAAAACAAGTTATACGGAATATAGTTTTTCTAGTGTTGTTATTACGAAATTTATTTTTCTACTAAAGTGTTTTACTATTTTGACCATATTAGTATGACTATAGCTCATAAATAATTAGCACTGTATTAGGCCTTTTGTTGCAAAAAAAAAAAGAACAAGAAATATATTGTCCTACTAATGCTGTACTGTTTATTAAAATGGTCAAGTATTATTATTTAAAATTAGCAAGAATTTACATTTTATTTTTATACAATTGCCAATTAACCATCAAGAGTTATAGTGGACAAAAAAAATATTTTCTTCTAAGTAAAGCTTGTTTTCTTTAGCCTGCTGTGCTTTTCTCTGACACCAGTGCTGCATATATCTATCATAAGTTGTGTCATGTGACAAGCTGTCTATTCCAAATAGTAAGAATGAGTTTATTTTATTATATCGCACTACCCTAGTTAAAAATTAAGATTATCACTGTTTGTTTCACAAGAAAATAAAACAAGTCTTTGTGCAAGAAATGCAATTTTACAATGTACATTTGTAATTCAATGCATTATTGAATAATGCATTACCACAAAACAACACCTAATAAATGACATTTGCTGCTTGTTCAAACTACTTATTTAATATGAGTTGAACCAAACACTAATTTTATTTTTTTTTTTAAATCAAGTAATTTGATTGAACATAAAACCATTAAGTGAACTTGAAGGGACAACATGAAGGAATTGTAGATTTAAAAAAAAAATCATATAAATTAATAGTATTTTTCTTTTTTGATTGAACAATATTTTTCAGAGATACGACTATCTGAAAATTGAAATCTGATTTTAAAAAAAAATCTAAATACTGAAAAAATCACATAAAGTTGTCCAAATTTAAGCAATGCATATTACTTTAAATTTTTATATATTTGTGTAAAGAAATTTATATCATGTCTTCATAGAACATGATTTATTTTTAAAATGTGTTTTAATTATTGAACTGAATTCCTTTTTGAATGAAAAAAAAAATGTCTAATTCTGACTCACACCGTGTATTTTTTGAGCTATTCCCTCAAATATACCTGTGCAAAATAAGACTGATTTTGGGGTCCGTGTCACGGTTCCTCAATTAGCTATGAAATTTACCAACAATTCAGGAAGGGAAATTGTTTCAGCACCAATAAGATGCAAATGAAATTCATTCACTGTGAAATAGTGGAGCTCTAGTTCAGATTTCCACTAGATGTCAGTGTTAAACTAAACTTGTAAACCCCTCTTTTTCTGCCTTTCTTCGTCTACTTGGATAAAGTCTAGAAGGGATGTAGATGCTGACTTCACTATAGCATCATTTTTGTGACGCTGTACAACAATAATTCATATCTTTACATTACTTTAAAGGGCATTACTGTAGGTGTAGTTAGCATTAATAAAATAGAATTAATAAATAATACTCTGTTTTTACAGCTTTTACATTACTAGTTTGGGTATGGGTAATGGTGGATGTTAATAAAATATATTTAGTGAGTAATATAATAAGTATAAATAGTTCTCATTAACTTTGGGCTACAGCTGCATCCCTTCTAGCAACAACCAACTACTTGGCCTTTTAAAGCATTGCTTGCATTTACAGTTTAGCTCTAAATATATGGAACTGTCATGATCCTGTATCACAATTCCATCCCAAAAGCAGCATGTAAAAGGAAAATATTTATTTTGCCAGCGCACTTTGATTTTCTTTAGCTAACAATTAATCCGTGCAATTTAATTTACTGAAAAAAAGTTTGTTTTAGTAATCTTCAATCATAGTCTAAACATTTGCTTCTGCGTTTGGAGTGGCAGTTTGATGCTTCAGCCACTATTTATGGCCACACCCCTTTTACTGTTAATTTGCTATCCGCTTGTTAAGTGTTACGTCTTCCAGGTCCAAGCACTCATGAAATGGGGAAACTCATGAAATGCTAATAATAAACGTTTACTACGTGCTGTAATACATTTGAAAATCACGATTGCAATATATATATATATATATATATATATATATATATATATATATATATATATATATATATATATATATATATATATATATATATATATATATATCCATGGCTAACATCAGATGGCCAGAAAGTGATTCATTTTTTTATAAATTGTTAATTTTGGTATTTGTGATGCAGAAAGCCCAGAGATTGATGTGTACACTATGACTTTATTTAAAATGAGATAGGACTAAAGAGTGATCGTAAACAAATGTTTTCTCAATTCAGATGAGTGGTGACTTGGACCTGGAAACAGTATTATACACGTCACCACTTAACAAGCGTATAGGGGAATGATGCTTAACAAAAAGGCTCCACCCCCTACTCAATATTCCGTTTCAGTTGGAAGCTCATCAACATACTTGAATAAAAGTTTCTGGAGCTTCCAGTTCACGTGGACTTTAAACAACATTTAAACATGATACAATACCCAATGCATGGTTTTCCCAAATACATTTGTTAGGTGTCGCATGACTGCATACAGTTGAAGTCTGAATAATTAGCCCCCTGTATGTATGTATGTATGTGTGTGTATGTGTGTGTGTGTGTGTGTATATATATATATATATATATATATATATATATATATATATATATATATATTTTTTTTTTTTTTTTTTTTTCTAATTTCTGTTTAACAAAATAAATCCACACATTTCTAAACAATAGTTTTATTAACACATTTCTAATAACTGGCTTATTTTATCTTTGCCGTGATGACAGCACATAAAGTGACATTTAAAGGCTTAACTAGGTTTATTAGGGAATTTAAGGTAATTAGGCAAGTCATCGCATAATGGGGCTAATAACACTGACCTTAAATTGGTTGTAAAATATTAAAACCTGCCTCTATTCTAGCCAAAATAAAACAAATCAGAATTTCTCCAGAAGAAAAAATATTACAGGAAATACTGTAAAAAAATCCTTGCTCTGTTAAACATAATTTGGGAATCTTTGAAAAAGAAAACAAAAATTGACCGGAGGGCGAATTATTTTGGCTTTAATTGTACATCAGATTTAAATCCAGGTCTCATCTATATCCACAGGAAACCATTCAGAAGAAGTACGGCGTCCCTCCAAGCAAACTACGTGTGTATTTTCACTATCAGCCATCGTACTATCACCTCCACGTCCATTTCACCGCGGTGGAGTACAACGTTCCTGGTTGTGGAGTGGAAAGAGCTCACCTGCTTTCAGATGTCATCCAGAACTTGCAGTTGGATTCCAGTTACTATCACAACCGCAGCCTGTCGTTTCCACTGCGAGCTGATGATGGGCTGCTCCAACGGTTCAGAGAGGCCGGGAAAATTTAGTGATGTTTGCTACATTTTTTTAAAAGCTTGTTTCTTAAAGGGACAGATCAACCAGAAATTACCATTTAGTCATACTCTATTTTATTAAACATCAACTGGATATTGTTTCTGTAAGCGTGTTCTGCTGGATTTCTCAGAATATATGTGCGGTTTCTGAACTCTCCTTTTTTCTCCAAATGGGTTCATTTTAAGTCACTTAGAGTAAAACTGTTGAGTTTTATAATTAATTAATTTATTTTTGTATCCATTCAGCCGATTTCTGGATCTGGCGGGATCACTTTTAGCTTAGCTTAGCATAGGTCATTGAATCGGATTAGACCATTAGCATCTCACTCAAAGTCCTCTGCTGTTACTTTATTTACTAAGACTGTCAAATTCACTATTTTAAAGGCCTATATGACTAGGATCTATGTTCTCATTTTGGCGTTATAATCAAGTAAGTTTGCTGCTGTACCATGGCTTCAGCAGGCACAATGATATTACGCAGTAGTCTCCAGCTGGATAACCACAGTAACAGCGACACATGATTTCATTTTCCTGCTGCAGCGAAAGTTCCTTGATTATTACGCTGGAATTACTAGCCATATCAGCCTAGAAAATAGCAAGTTTTTTTTTTTTTTTATAATTTTTAGATGTTTTTCACCTTCAATTGGAAAGGACAGTGGAGGTTACAAACAGGAAAGAATTTACATTTACATTTAGTCATTTAGCAGACGCTTTTATCCAAAGCGAGTTGGGAGAATTGGGAGCAGAGAGAGAGGGGAAGGGTCGGCAAAGCACCTCTGTGCTACATGTCGACGTACTTTAACCACTACACTATTGTTAAAAAAATTGCTAATGATCTAATCTGATTTAATAAAATATGTTAAGCTAAGCTAAATCTTGCTTAACTCTAGGTGAGCTAGAAACGTGGGGGGGAAAAAGTGAAGTGTTCCTTTAAAGCAGGGGTGCCCAAACTCGGTCTTCTAGGGCTGGTGTCCTGTAAAGTTTAGTTCCAACCCCAATCAGACACACCTGGGCTGGCTAATCAAGCTCTTACTAAGCTTTCTTGAAACATCCCTTTTACGTTGAGGCAAGTTGGAGCATAAATCTTTAATTGCTTTAAAGCAAGAGTTCATTTCCAGAATTAAATTTTTGTCGTCATTTGTTCACCATCCACTTTTTTAACAAACCTGTTTGAGTTTTTTATTTTTTATTTTTTTATTTATGTTTAAACATTTTGGTATCTTAACAGTTAAAATTTGGTATGGAAATCAATGAAGACCATCAACTGTAAGTGGAAGTCAGTGACCAATCATTCTGGAAGTTTACTGTACTCCTTAAAAGGATGAGTTTTGCTCATTTCGGGTCAATTCAATTATGTTTTTGACCAAACTGCAATACAAAAACACGTCACATGGTACATTGTTGGTACCATTGCAATACCATTCAAAGCTTAAAGGGATAGTTCACCCTAAAATGAAATTTTCAGTTAATTTACTCACCCTTACATCATCTGAAATGCAGTTGACTTTCTCTTTAAGACTTCTTGAAGACTATTTCAATAATGTAGGAAAAATTTCAGTAAATTAACTGTAAATGTTCATTTTTTGGATGAACTGTCTCTTTAATGGTATTTGTTGCAGCTTTAGAATATCCAGAACAAGCTTTAGAGTAAATAATGAAGTAAGTTTTTTGTTTTGGGTGAACTAACCCTTTAATATCTCTTTAATTATTGAAAGCTTAAATTTACACTGCTTATCTGTTTTAAAACATGCATTATGGTCACTATAAAAGTCATTTTATGACATCTGCCAACAGTTTTTTGTCTAAAATATATGCTTGATTTTTGTAACTGTCTGTTTTTTTGTTGTTATTAAAGTACAGGTTGTTTTTAAATGGGTCGTTTGTGCTTTTCATTTTGTGGCCGATCATGTGGACACAACCTAAATTCATCACTCAAAACCCCATTTTTTTTTTCCACCCGGCTGTGCACCTGTCTGTGGTGGGATGTCGAGATTCATTTTAAAGCACAATTGGAGCCAGTGGGGCCCCAGGCTTTATTCTTTGAGGTTTTAGGGGTCCTTTGAAGAGATTTGGCCATGGCTGACAGAGCAGTGGGCTGCAATGGATGGCCTTTTTTCTTCTTTTCTTTTCTGAAAGTTGCTTGTTCGATATTAGCCCCACAACCAGGAAGAGTAAAGTTTAATAAGCGCAACACAACCGATAATGTTCTTGCTTAGCTGCGAGTTTACTTATAGCGAGATGTATAGATTTTTATTTTCATTTTTTGGGATTTTTAGTTTGCAGCTCATTGTAAATCCAGCCCTGGAGGAGCAGAAAAACCCAAACCTCCAAAGCAAGGACAAAAAAAAAGTCTGTTCAAAGTTTGTTTATGTGGTTCAACTTGAGATTTCACTGTTTTACATAATCAAAGACTTAACAATGCTCTCTATTCACAGGGAATCACAGCACAGTATAGAATGATTTCTGATGGAGTATCAGCTCAAGTAATGCTCTGTTATTTAAAGGTACGTTCACACAAGAAAAAAAAACCTGACTTTGTTTTCATCTTCTGTTGTTTACTCCTGGTGTTAACATGTTCAGATATTCTTTTTGTTCACAGTTATTGAAACCTTTACCTTTTATGATACATGAATGCTAGTTTTTTATTGCTTCACATTTCTTTATTGGTTAGCACTGTTCCCTTAAAGCACAAGAAGTTTGCTGGTTTGAGTCCTGACTGGGCCATTTGGCATTTCTGTGTGGAGTTTGCAAGTTCTCCCTGTGTTCGCTTGGGGTTCTCCAGGTGCTCTGGTTTCCCCCACAGTCCAAAGACATGTGCTGTAGATGAATTCATTCATTCTCTTGTCTTCTTAGTCCCTTTATCAATCCGGGGTCGCCACAGCGGAATGAACTGCCAACTTATCCAGCACGTTTTTATGCAGCGGATGCCCTTCCAGCCGCAACCCATCTCTGGGAAACATCCACACACACATTCACACACACTCATACACTACGGACAATTCAGCCTACCCAATTCACCTGTACTGCATGTCTTTGGACTGTGGGGGAAACCGGACCACCCGAAGGAAACCCACGCGAATGCAGGGAGAACATGCAAACTCCACACAGAAACACAAATTAGGCTGAGGCTCGAACCATCGACCTTCTTGCTGTGAGGCGACAGCACTACCTACTGCGCCACTGCCTCGCCCCTGTAGATGAATTGAATAAGCTAAGTTGTCTGTAGTGTATAAGTGCAGGTGGGTGTTTCAAGGGGGGTTGGTTTGCGGCCAGAAGGGCATCCACTGCGTAGAACATGCTGAAATAGTTGGCAGTTCATTCCACTGTGGCGACCTCTAAAATAGAGACTAATCTGATGGGAAGTGAATGAATTTCTGAATTTACTTGCATTTCTACAGTACGCAGACATATATATATATATATATATATATATATATATATATATATATATATATATATATATATATATATATATATATATATATATATAAGAAACCATTAAACATGACACTCCAGAAAGAGAGTGGAATAAAATAAGATAAAAGAAATTCAGACCTTTTCATCTTCTGTTGTTTTCTCCTGGTGTTAACGTGTTCAGATATTCTTTTTGTATACAGTTAATGCAAGCTTTACCTTTTATGATACATGAATGGCAGATTTTTATTGCTTTAAATTTCTGCATGGTTGGCTCAATGCTTGGCACTGTCGCCTCACAGCAAAAGGGTCCCTGGTTTGAGTCCTGGTTGGGTCAGTTGCCATTTCTGTGTGAAGTTTGCATGTTTTCCCCGTGTTGTTGAGGGATCCTCCGGGTGCCCACAGTCCAAAGACATGCTCTATAGGTGAATTGAATAATTTAAATTGTCCATAGTGTATGAGTGTGTATGTGTAAATTAGTGTCTATGGGTGTTTCCAAGTACTGGGTTTTGGGCTGGAAGGGCATCTGCTGCGTAAACCATGCTGGAATAGTTGGCGGTTCATTCCACTGTGGCGACCTCTAAAATAGAGACTAATCTGATGGAAAGTGAATGAATTTCTGAATTTACCTGCATATCTATAGCACGCAGACCTATTAGAAACCATCAAACATGTCACTCCAGAAAGAGAGTGGAATAAAATAAAAAGGAAAACCTGACATTATTCTCATCTTATGCTGTTTTCTTCTGGTGTTAACGTGTTCAAATATTCTTTTTCACATCAAATCAAATCACTTTTATTGTCACATCATCAGCAGCACTATTTTCATGCATCATAGCACATAGCAGTGCTATGATGCATGAAAAGCTTAGGTGCTGGCTTCAAACAGTGCAAAATACAGACAGTGCAAATACAATGACAGTGCAAAATACAACAACATACTCCTAAAAAAAAAAACAGGACAATGTAAAATTGGCAATGTTGACAGTTATTGAAACCTTTACCTTTTATGATACACGAATGCCACATTTTTATTGGTTTCTGCATTTACTGGCATATCTATATTAGAAACAGTTAAGCATGAGAATCCAGAAAGAGAGTAGAATAAAAAATAACGTAATAAACTTAGGGACTTAGGCATATTATGCTTACATGATAATAAACTACCATAATCATAAAGTAACCTTAATAACAATGTAAAAATCAATAGTACAATGTATAAAAATCTGTATTTTTAACCGGCAGCTAGCTCTCTGTAACTCTCACATAGTCGCCCACTGAAGCTAAGCAGGGCTGCGCCTGGTCAGTATCTGGATGGGAGACCACATGGGAAAGCTAGGTTGCTGCTGGAAGTGGTGTTAGTTAGACTAGCAGGGGGCGCTCAACCTGCGGTCTGTGCAGGTCGTAACGCCCCAGTATACTGATGGGGACTCTATACTGCTCAGTGAGTGCCGTCTTTCGGATGAGATGTTAAACTGAGGACGCTCTGTGGTCCTTAAAAATACCAGGATGTCCTTCGAAAAAGAGTATGGGTTTAACTAAATTTGCCCACTGACCTCTGTCCATCATGGCCTCCTAACCATCCCCATATCATAATTGATTTCATCACTCTGTCTTTCCACCAATCAGCTGGGGTGTGGTCTTGAGCAATATGGCTGCTGTCATGAGGAAATCCCCCCCAAAAATGTGTAAAGCGCTTTGAGTGTCCAGAAAAGCACTATATAAATGTAAGGAATTATAATTATATTTCTACTTTAACATTTGATTACCTGGACAGTGTCACACACATTTTATGGAGTGCTTTTGTGACCTATTGGGGCATCATGTATACTGTTAATTCTTATTGGCCATAATTTATTAAGATTCCTTTCCCTTAAACCAATCTAACATTGGCAGCAATAAAGATCTAAAATGAACTCGTCGTCTTATGTGAACCACTAGAACAGTTGAAAATGCATTTGATCAGATTGCTTCATAGTGTAAACATGATAAAAAGAATGAAGAAATGAGAGAGAAGTGCTCCCACGGGTCCCTGAAATCCTTGAAAGTTTCTGAATCTGAAGAGAGAAAAAAATCAGTGCCTTGAAAGTTTTTGAAAATAAGCATACATTGATACAGGATCTTGAAAGTGCTTGATTTTATTTTGTGCAAAGAGTTTTCTAGAAAAAAATAATAAAAAATCTGTTATTCCTTATGGCAGGGGTGGCCAACGCTGTTCTTGGAGAGCCACCTTCCTGCAGATTTCAGTTGCAACCCATATCAAACACACCTGAACCAATTAATTAGGACCTGAACACAACATGATAATTACAGGCAGGTGTGTTTGATATGGGCTGCAACTGAAATCTGCAGGAAGGTGGCTCTCCAGGAACAGGGTTGGCCACGCCTGCCTTATGGTCTGCTAATATTTCTCGCATTAAGTATTGCACGGAATTCGGCATAATCTTAAGAAACTATATTTTATTTAAAGAAATATGTAAGTATTTAAAGATAATGTGAAGTATTCAATATTTGAAGTGGATCAAAATCTACTTGCAACTTGTCTTGCAACTCATTTTGATTTGCTGCCTTGTCACAGAACATTTTTATTCTGTCGAAATATTTTTCTGTTGATTACTCATTCATTTAAAGTCCCTACTCTGTAAAAATCCTGTTTGCTTTTAAATTTTTAAGCTGAATCAAATTACCATTTGAGTCGATTGAACTCATATTATGACCTAAACAGCCTGCATAACTAATAAATTAAGCTAGAACATGATTAACTTCAATGTTATGTCAAAGTTACAATGACCTAAAAACATACGCTGTCAGAACGAATTGGTCATATCAGTTTTTACAGTGTAGACATTTATTTATTTATGCTATCTCTTGTATAAATGTATATTTTATAGTATTAATTTCTGTATGTGATCCTTTTTATGGTACAGTTGAGAATGAGTTGGCCGTAACATTAATTGGGGGCTCGTCCGGGATCAATTTATGTGGATGAGTATAGCCTATATGATTTTTTTAATAGACTCTAAATAGTTCACCCAAAAATCTACATTTAATGCCTATTTACACACCATCAACTGGCTTTGAATCTTTATAAGTTCCTATTTTCTGAACACAAAAGAAAAGGATTTCTTAATAGAAATAAAAAAGCTCACATCTTTTACTCATTGTTGCAAACATTTTCATCAGTTGAGCACAAAAGAAGATGTTTTGAAGAATGTTGGAAACTAGTAAATTGAACTTCATAGCAGGAAAAACAAATACTATGGAAGTCAATGGTTACAGGTTTCCAACATTCTTCAAAACATCTTCTTTTGTGTTCAGCAGAAGTAAACGTTTGCGAGTAAATGATGTGAGCTTTTTATTTTGGGGTGAACTTTCCCTTTAAATCACTTGCAAAAAAAAATAATAATAAATCGCTCTCAGTAATAACACTTGTACATTTTCTAACTAATGCTATTGTTGCATCTGGCTACCGCTAATTTCAGTGTTGTCACTATAGCCAACGCATGCGGCTTTAGCTCCTTGTTGTGCGTTCATTAATTCCAAGTAATTACCAGGTCTTATTACTTATCTGCGGTGATTGTGTTTGGCAGCAGGATTCAATATTTAGACAGAAAATTCCAGAGGAAAAACGTGAAAGTCCTTAAGAGCTTTTTAAATGGCCTTACGGAGGCTCTCTAGAACAATTACATAATTACTGCACACAAGCAATGCTGTCAGACAGAGCCTCTCCATCTCCATCTATCACTCCGCTCGCCTCACGATTATGCTTTTGGAAATGGGACAAAAATAAATAGTCAGTTTTATGCATGCATGTGTTTTTGAATGCATGCATATATAAAGTGGAGTGCATTAATGTAAAGCAATCAGAGTGTAATGAGAAAGGGTTGTTATGTGCATTATGTTGAAGTTAAATGTGATGGAGCTTGATTGTTGTTAAGGTGGCCACTTTTTTTATTTATAATTTTTTTAATCTGCCAGCTGCAGTGTTTTTGGCTAATTAGCTTCTTTTTCCCCTAATTTTCTTTCTCAACTGCTGAATAAATCCATGGGAAATGATGTATATTCATATTAAATTGTTGTTAGCACTGGTAGCAGGAGCAAAAGAGAGCTGAAGTAGTCAGATTTATTCACTAAGGATTCAACTATCCACTGTGGCAAAGGGAAATGACAAACTTAACTGATACACAGGGCATTAAATACTAGATATCACAAGTAACTTGACCAGTTTTGGGAACATGAGGAATGGTAGCATATAGGAAACAAAATCAAAGAACAAGTAAAAAAGACACTAATAGTTCATGCAGAATATTACTCAGTTACTTTTATTACCAGTGAAATTGAGCAATGAAAAATGTCAACTTCTGTGTAGTTTTCTACAATTTTACTTCAACTGAAACCTGAAAAAATTATATATACAACAACATAAATTGGGGGCATAAATTAGAAGTGAGTTATTAAAACTATTATGTTTAGGAATGTGTTGAAAAAATCTATATATATGATGCAAAGATTATCTAGAAAAAAAAGGTAATCAATAAGTAAATTAATAGACATTTAAATTAATAAGTAAACTAATAAGAGGATAACAAATAAATAAGTATTATTAAGTGAATTAAGAAGTAAAGAAATAAAGTTAATACATTAATAAGTAAAAAATAAATAAATTATTTAATGAAGTTAATAGAGAAGTACCTTAACAAATAAGTAAATTATTAGGAAAATAATAGCTTCGTAGAACAATAAGTGAATTACTAATGAATAAATTAATAGGCAAGTAAGTAAATTAAGTAAATAAATTAATGCGTAAATTAATAGATAAGTAAATTAAAAAGTAAATTAAGTTAATAAATTAAAATTAATAGATGATTAAATTATAAAGTAAATTAATAAGTTACTAGATTAATAACCAAATAAATAGTCAAGTAAATAAGTAAATTTAGTAAAATAAAGTAAATAAATAATTAATATGTAAATTAATAAGTTACTAGATTAATAAGTAAATGAATTAATGAAGTAAATTAAGTAAATAAATAAAATAATAAAAAACTAAGTAAATAAAATTTAATTCACCAAAATACCAAATACTTTCCATTAAAAATATTTTTGGCTTTGTTACTACCTTTTTGAACAAACAAGTTTTACTCATTTGTCAGCAAAAAGTTTTATATGACCTCATATTCTTTATTATTTTAATATCTTTATGTATTTTTTTACTTTATTATCATATTCTCCTATTATTTATATATGTTAATAAGATTTTGTATGATTATATTATAGTGTATTTCATTGTAAATCTTCTCTATTGATTTATAATAGAAACTTCTCTTTATTTTATCCCTTTATTTGACTTTGACTTTTTTTTTCACAGAAGTTATCTGAAACATTGAAGTAGCATTTAAATTGCTTTCTTATTTTAATCTAAAAGCACTTGTTTTAACGTAACACTTACCCATAAGTACCCAATTGTTTGTCCCATATATGTGCTGTTGTGTATAATTTGATTCCGATATTCAGCAGAGGATGTGGTCTGTTGTTTGACCTGCTGAATTTATATATATATAAGCATCTCTTTGTTTCTTTCCGGGAATTATTATTTATGAGATATGAGAGATGAGCGTGCGGTTTGACATGCTTTGCCACGCTGAGGTTTATACTGCAAGTGTTACAGAGGAAGTTCATGCGGCTACATTTGGTAAGTGCTGTTAACCATGTGTTTCCAATTACACCTGCTAGTTTTGATTAGAGAGTTAAGCTGATTTACCACCTGATTTGACCTAAAACTTTCACTTGATTTGTTCACTTTAAAAGAATAATTCAAGAAATAATCAGAGGTTTATACACTGTTTGATGCAATATTTTGGAAGAACATTCAAAAAGCTGCTTGTTTAATTGCTTATTTAAAAACACAATTCTTACGACTTAATTGTTTTATGTTCAATCCACTTAAATTTGTACAAATAAATCAGAAGTGTCCACACTCGGTCCTGGAGGGCTGGAGGGCCTGCTGAGTTTAGCTCCAACTTTCTTCAACACACCTGCCAGGAAGTTTCTAGTATATCTTGATTAGCTGGTTCAGGTGTGTTTGATTAGGGTTGGAGCTAAACTCTCCAGGACCCCGGCCCATTAGGACCGAGATTGGACACCACTGAGTTAACCTAATTAATTTTGGGACAACATGGAGGAATTGTGTGAAACCCAGCATTTTGTTTACTGTTGGAAACCAGTAAACATTGACATTCTTAAAACAAACATTCTATGGAAGTTAATGGGTACAAGCTCCCAACATTATTCAAAATGTCTTCTTTTGTGTTCAGAAAAAGAACTAACTTTTTATTTTTTTAAATTAAAATAAGAACATTACAAAATACCTGTCCTGTGTGATCAGAGTCTGAAAAATGTCAGTTTGACACCTTGAAAAGGATTAAATTCACTAGTATTTTATTCTAGATGTTAAATTTTAAATAGCTCTTAATTTTATAGGAATAGATAAACTATATATATATATATATATATATATATATATATATATATATATATATATATATATATATATATATATATATATATATATATATAAAAACTACATATATATATACAGTTAAAGTCAGAATTATTAGCCCCCCGGTTGATTTTTTTTAGGAGCAAAGACATTTTTACAGTATGTCTGATAATATTGTTTTCTTCTGGAGAAAGTCTTATTTGTTTTATTTCGACTAGATTAAAAGCAGTTTTTTATTTTTTAAACACCATTTTAAGGTCAAAATTATTAGCCCCTTTAAGCTATATATATATTTTTTCCCCTATAGTCTACAGAACAAACCATCATTATACAATAACTTGCCTAATTACTCTAACCTGCTCTAGTTACCCTAATTAACCCAGTTAAGCCTTCAAATGTCACTTTAAGCTGTATAAAATGTATTGAAAAATATCTAGTCTAATATTATTTACTGTCATCATGACAGAGATAAAATAAATCGGTTATTAGAGATGAGTTATTAAAACTATTGTGATTAGAAATTTGTTGAAGAAATCTGCTCTGCGTTAAACAGAAATTGGGGGAAAATAAACAGGGTGGCTAATAATTCAAGGGAGCTAATAATTCTGACTTACACTGTACACACACACACACACATATATATATATATATATATATATATATATATATATATATATATATATATATATATATATATATATATATATACATACACACACACACACACATATATATACACACACACACACACACACACATATATATATATATATATATATATATATATATATATATATATATATATATATATATATAGTGTAAGTCAGAATTATTAGCCCCCTTGAATTATTAGCCACCCTGTTTAATCTGTAACTAAACATTTAAGTTAATTCAGTGAATAAACTACATTTGGAACTCAGTTATTAGAGTTGATGATTTTCCATTACTCAAACAAACTGAGGGAATCTCTTTCCTCAAATAATTTGAGTAGTCTCGTCTTATTAGGGTTTACAGTGTGAAAGTCAGTGGTTACAAGTTTCCAACATTCTTCAAAATATAGTTGTGTTTTTATTTTGGGTTGAACTTTTAATTTGAAAAGCAAAAAAGAACTTAAATCTCATGAGCTGTGTGATTTTAAAAAATCCCTATTTGTTCTAACAACATAAACTAAATCAAAACTGGGCATTTTCACCAAAAGTTTAGTTGTTCGGCCTTGACTGTAAATTTATCATCCACATCTCAAAGCATTCACACGGCTTTATTTAAATGCAAATGAAGAGTTTGTGGGGAGTCTTCAGGGGTGGAGGGCAACGGCAAACCCAATTCAACTATTTCTTTGTGTTGGTTTCTGCAGAGCGTTCCTATGGGTACCAGCAGTTCCTCTTTGCAGACGAGGGTCTGATGGGGTATTTTGGAGAGCGCTGATCTTCAATTCAGACCTGTCCCGTGTGCTGTGATAGTTTTTTTTTTTTTTTTTATATTTGCAGTTCTTGTGGTTTGTGTTTGTTGGTACATGAACACTAGATCTGATGTGAGGTCAGTTATGGAAGCATTTTATAAGCTGTCTTTGGTTTCTAGTGTGTAAACTGTGGCATGTGCCTGGGATTAGGACATTTCGTTGAGGATTTTAGCAGCACCCCGATGCTTGTTTGCTGGAAAGGAGAACTTCATGGCCTGAACTTCATGCAGCACTGACGTTTGCTGGGACGTTTTCAGTTTGCAGGTATGAGGAGGATGATGGTTTTGCTTGTTTGTAGGTGTTAAAGAAAGTGTTTTATTAATGTGGGTTTGTGTTGTGAGCTGCAGGATGCATCGGTTTGATTACAGTATTTAGTTGATGGTTATAAAGGTTTGGATTTTGAGTTTGAGTTTTATTAAAAAAAGAAAAAAAAACAGAGAAAAAAGGTAAAACTCAAATCTTGACACCTGAGATTTATGAATAAATATATTATGATGCAATGAGCTAAATGCTTCTCTTTAACAATCATTTTTAAATAAAAAAATAATAGTAGATTTTAATTTGGTTATTGCATGAATAAATTGGCACCATTAATATTTTACAAATAATACAAAATATTCAAACATTTAAATATTAAACAGAATATGTTATTACTTTTTATGCACTTTTATTGTGCATTTAATAAACATTGTACGTGATGGAATAAAAAAAATGCAAACTTAAAATTACATTTATTTTTGTGATATATTTAAATTATAAAAATCATAAAATATATATATTCATTTACATATTTAAATAAAAAATTATGAATTATTATTTTATACATTTTTATAAGTACTTTATACAGTTTACTAATATTAATTAACTTTATTTTTTTATGGCGCCTTTAAAAGTAGCATCTCAAGGCAAATCACAGACATAAAATCTGCAGCAGCAAAAGATTCATACAAGGAGGAATGCAAAGAGAAAAATATAATATTAAAAAAAGTTAAAAGTGCATAAAATAATAATAGTGATGAATCTACAAAAATCAAATAAAAACTGCCATAAAAAGTAATGTTTCTTAAAATATGTTCATAATAATGTTGTATTAAAAAAAAAATCTATATTTTTGTTGCCGGAAACTTTCGATCGATGGAAACTGTTGTGGATTTTTTTCAAAATATATAAATATACAAACAATGATAAAATTATATATATATGTGTATATATCTATAAGATATCTATATATATGTGTGTGTGTGTGTGTCAGGGCATCCCGAGTTTGAATCTTCACTTCCTGTCTAAATACTGTCAAGTAAGGCCAAAAATACATCTTTAAAAAAAAAAAAAGAAAGAAAAAAGCAGTTACATTATTTAACCAATAGGTGGCGACAACCAGCCATCAAAAATATGCCACTGAGTAATTCTTTAAAAATGACGCATCTAGCAATGAAACATGAAGTTTTATGAGTGAAGAACTGAATAATTTATTAAAAATGAGACCAAAATAAATATGGGTTGTACAAATTATAATGCTAGATTTACACAGTTAGTGTTTAAAGCGACAGTAGTAGCAAGAGTGAATTTTTCACAGTACTTAATATTTTACAATTTATTTTTATTCAGCTTCTTTATTTTATTTTTAATAAAATTACAGCTGCTACGTTGTTTGTTAAAACCAAAAGCAGTGCTGTCTTTGTACTAAATGCAAAGCAAATTACATTTGTCTCTTCCCGCTTTTAGATGATCCGAAAAATGGTCTGATCCGTGACTAAAAAACCTTAATGTGATCCGAACCATGAGATTTGTGATCTGTTACACCTCTACTGTATATGTATGTAAAAAGAAAATGTGTGCATGTGTAAACTTACAAACTTCAGTGTCTATATACAGTTTAAAATGTAAATATATTAGAATAAAATGTACAATTTTCCCAGAGTAGGGTTGCGGCTGGAAGGGCATCCGCTGCTTAAAAACGTGCTGGATAAGTTGGTGGTTCATTCCCCTGTGGCAACCCCGGATTAATAAAGGGACTAAGCTGACAAAAAAATGAATGGATGAAAATGTACAATTCATAAATGCAAATTTAAATGAAATATTGATAATGCTAATTACATTATGATACCCATAAAAATGTCTTCTTGTTCCACCAGCTGAAAGATGTTCCAGTTCATCCGGAAACAGCTTCACAATCACCTGGTGGAGCGCAAAATCAGGAGAACTCGCCTCGTCACCAAAGACGGCCACTGCAACATCAAATTTGGCACCACCGAATATCAAAGCCACTTCGCTTTCCTTAAGGACTTCTGGACTACATTCGTCGAAATCCACTGGTGTTTCGTAATCCTTTTATTTGCCGCAGCCTTCACCGGCAGCTGGTTCGTTTTCGGCCTGCTCTGGTATTCGCTTGCGAAAAGCAACGGAGACCTCTCTGAGTCTCAGCAGACGAAATGCATCGAGAACATTAACAGCCTCACGACTGCTTTCTTGTATTCTTTAGAGACCCAAACCACTATTGGATATGGCGGTCGGGCTCTGACGGGGCACTGTCCTGGCACCGTCGCTCTATTAATAATCCAATCCCTCATGGGCGCCATCATCAACTGCTTTATGTGTGGACTCATCCTGGCCAAGATCTCGCTCCCGAAGAGAAGAGCAAAGACTGTAGCGTTCAGCGAAACAGCCGTCATCCGTCTCTGGAAGGGGAATTTATGCCTGCAGATACGAGTTGCCAATCTACGGAAAACCCTACTGATTGGAAGCCACATTTACGGAAAGCTTCTGCGGACTACTATCACTCCCGAAGGTGAAACTATCATTCTGGATCAAGTAAATGTTGACTTTTCGGTGGATGCTGGGAAGGATAACTTGTTTTTTGTGTGTCCGCTTACTATTTATCATGTGATCGACAAATCCAGTCCGTTCGCGGACATGGCAGCGGATAACCTTCAGCTCCAGGACTTTGAGTTGGTGGTTTTTCTTGACGGCACGGCTGAATCTACAAGCTTGTCCTGCCAAGTGCGAACTTCTTACCTTCCCAGAGAGATCAAATGGGGTTACGTGTTTCTCCCCGTCATCTCTCGCACCAAAACTGGAAAATACCGTATCGATTTATCCAATTTTTCCAAAACGCAGCAAGCAGATACTCCACATTGTGCTTGCTGTTTTCATAACAAACATAACAAGGGGCTCATTCTCCACCGGCATGGAAGCGAAGGCATCGATAACCTGGGATTTGACGTTATTGACCTTCAGGACTCGGCTGATGTAACTGAGAAGGGCGATTAAGGCTTGAAGTGGCTGATTGAGAGGAATCGAGTGTGCTGTAAACATCCTGTAATATGGTGGCATTTAGTACTGCGAACGTTGAAGCCACATAAAAGGAGAGGGAAGAAGAGAAGCAGTCGCTTTAGACGCTTGTGTTTCCTAACAGACACTTTGGCAGCGCTCCAAAACCTAGCGAGCTGCTTGTGTAGACGGTGTTATTTGAGGTATTGTTTGTTTCTGAAATGAAGCCTGTTACTAAGTGTCGCAATTAGGGTTGGGTATCGTTTGGGCAGATGTGACAGATTGATGCTTTTAGAATGGTACCGTGCCTGAAATGAGACGTAAGAAAAAGATGAGGAGTCGCAAAACGATGGCGGATGGTGTTTTTATTGAAACAAATGGAATTGAACAATATGTTTAAAGTGAGCAGTTGAAGTCAGAATGATTCGCCCACCTGTGGAACTTTTTTCTTTCTGAAAAATTTCCAAAACGAAAGAATTTCTCAAATATTTCCTGTACTATTTTTTCTTCTTATTTGTGTTATTTCTGCTAGAATAAAAGCAGTTTTTGATTTTTAAATCATTTTTAGAATAAATACGGTTTCTCTCTAGGTTTTTTCGCCAATTGGTGAAGTTTTTTGCTCTGCGCTGTCGCCACTGGCTTGCATGGTTCGGGACTTGTAAAACTGCACATCGATGAATTTGCTCTTCATAGTTTGGACTTTCAGTAGTGATTATTGCACCACACTGAGCTAAACTAAACTGAACTTCAACACTGAAAACGGGACTGACACTTTTTCAATTTACTATAATATTCTTTGTGAAGCTGCTTTGACAATCTACATTGTAACGGTGTGTTCACACCAGACGCGGAACGCGTGGATAAATCGCGCTATTCGCACGTAAATAGCCGTGTGAACATTTGAGTTTACTCGCTTCATTCGCACGTCAAATTCACTTCAGAACAGACACGGATTCGCGTGATGGGCAGGGCTTCTGTCTGCCCGGTGACTCTAGCTTCATAGCTAAATGGCTAAAATGGATTTTATTAATAAAAATAACAGTGTTTATGTGCTTTTATGAAGGCTGAAAAACAGAGTTGATACGTTTAGGGTCGTATCTGAGTCCACTACATCCTTACAGAGGTGCATCCAGCTCTGTGAGCTCATCAACTCCTCCAGAAACTGAACCTGGATGATGGAGGCTTTCAGCGGTGCATCTGACTGAGCCAAGCCCAGTTTGATGACTTGTCAGTGTCGGCTGGAGGTTTTACGAACAGGTTTTACGTACAGGTTTTTATCAACAGGTTTTACGTCACAATCACGCCCCCACAAGAGCAAGCTTCTGATTGGTTAACGCAGCGCGAATGTCCGCTGAAGTTCAGATTTTCAAACTCCAGTGATTCGCGCGAAACGTTCGTTAAGTGCGTCAAACGTGCAAAACACTCAATTCGCGCGTATCGCACCTTAGGATGTCTATTTGTGCGTTTGCATTGACTCACTAAATCACTCGCGCTTCATGCGCGTTCCGCGTCTGGTGTGAACATAGCATGTAAGCGCTAGCAATAAAGATGAATTGAATTGAATTGAATTTTCAGAATTATTCTGCTATTAAGCATAACAAACAAATGTGATAATCCTAACTTACTTAAAAAACAAAAAGTTTAGTCACATTAACATCTGACTTTTTTAAAACGGTTATGTGTCTTTTTATACAGTGTATGTAAACTTCTGTTTTCAACTGTATATAAAAGCAAACTGACAGCACAGACTTGCTGCCTATAAAGCTCATATATTTTACACATATGTCTTTGTAGTCATCAAGGCAGCTCTCTAGGTTTTGAAACAGAGCTGATATTTGCATATCTCTATGATTTTATAGTTTAAAACAGACCTTGCTTCAAACAGAATCACTGGTGAACATTTTTTTTGGGAACTCCATTAGAATACAGTTTTTAAGTGCCCTTTGATTGCAGACGTTGACAAGAGATGCCTGCTGAGTGTTCACTAGAGGATTAGAGCACTAGCCAGATTAGATTAAGGAGAAGCATGGAAGTAGCCCAGTTTCCAACATACAACACCAAATTATTAATATCATAATGTTATTAATGTATCAAAGCATTAAAATAATTCAGGACCAGAGAATGTCACGAACATTAAAAGCCATTTCACGCACCTGCAAAGTGAAGCGTTTTGAAAAACATTTTTTTTTTTTTGAAGTGCAAGCATTGTTGTTGTGAAGATTAAAAAGGACTGACCTATGCAAAGACTTGTTCACTCTGAACCGAGCGGCATTTAAAAGGTCGTAACATTTTAGAGAGGCTGGAAAGGTGCGATTCTGCATGAATGTCATACATTTTTATCTTTATTCCCTAATAGGTGAGCAATTTCATTACATAAACAGTAAAGCTTTCTTTAATTAAATGTTGAAGTCTTTTGTCCCTGTAATGCCGGTGAATTTACTACTGCTTTGGTCATATTTCTGCATTCCAGCTGCCTGACCGGCTGTCTACCAGGAATGAAAGTGGTGTCTTCATTCCACTTATTCTAGTCCTATACATGTTTTTCTTCTTATTGACCACCACAGTTGAAATCAGAATTATTAGCTCTTTTTCCATTTCAAATATTTCTCAAATGATGTTTGATAGAGCAAGGAATCTTTCACAGTATTTCCTATATTTTTTTCTTCTGGGGAAAGTCTTATTGGTTTAATTTCGGCTAGAATGGAAGCAGTTTTTAATTTTTTAAAAGACATTTCAAGTCAATATTATTTGCCTCCTTAAGCAATATTTTTTTTCCGATTGTCTACAGAGCAAACCATTGTTACTAACTTTGAAATCGTTAACAACTTTGCCTAATTATTTTAACTTGCCTAATTAACTTAGGTAATCGTTTAAATTACTAGCATATTTAATAAAATATTATGAATTGTCATCACAGCAAAGATGAAAGAAATCAGTCATTAGACATGAGTTATTAAAACTATTAGCTTTAGAAATGTGTTGAATCAAAATTTGGGGAAAATATATTTGGGGGGGGGGGGGGGGGGGGGATTCAGACTTCGACTGTATGTTTGATGTAATGTAATGTGTATTTATATAGCGCATTTATTGTGTTAGACCATACACCCAAAGCGCTTCACAATCATGAGGGGGGTCTCTCCACACCACCACCAGTGTGCAGCAGCCACTTGGATGATGCGTCGGCAGCCACAGGACAACGGCGCCAATGTGCTCACCACACACCAGCTATTGGTGGAGTGGAGAGTCAGTGATAAAGCCAATTCGGTGGAAGGGGATGATTGGGAGGCCATGATCGTAAGGGATGATATAACAGCAAGAAGTTCGATTCTCGGTTTGGTCTTTTGACATTTCTGTGTGGAGTTTGCATGTTCTCCCTGTGTTGGCGTGGGTTTTCTGCGGGTGCTCTGTTTTCCCCCACAGTCCAAACACATGCGGTACAGGTGAATTGGGTAAGCTAAATTGTCTATAGAGTGTGTGTGTGTGAATGAGTGTGCATGGATGTTTTCCAGTGATGGGTTGCAGCAGGAAGGGCATCCGCTGTGTAAAACCTATGCTGGATTAGTTGGCGGTTCCATAATGATGGTTTGTTCAGTAGACAGTCGAAAAAAAAAATTGCTTAAAGGGGCTGATGATTTTGACCCTAAAATGGTCCATAAAAAAAATAAAAACTGCTTTTATTCTAGCCGAAATAAAACAAATAAGGCTTTCTCCAGAAGAAAAAACATTATCAGACATACTGTGAAAATTTGCTCTGCTAAACATCATTTGGGAAATATTTAAAAAAAAATTCAAGAGGGGGCTAATAATTCTGACTTCAACCGTATATGAAAATTAGCCAATATAACACAAGGATTAATAATGAATTCAAGATTATTAATTCAAGAATTCAAGAAGTTTTGTTTTTGTAATAAAATATATCTTCCATTGTAATCAAAGACATATTTTGCTAATTCCACCCAGAACGTGAGTACTTGACAATCAACAAATAAACGACATGGACTCTCTTTACCTGCCCATCAGAAGCCACAACTTAGCACACACGATCTCAATTAACCACCTGCGCGTGACGTCACGAACAGAAGTTGTATTTTGGTTTGATGGACGACGGATATGCGACTTAATTCGGTAAACACTCGTGACTAGTCAGTTTTCCGTTTGATAACATTAGTAAACCAGTTAGTTAATTAGCTTGTCCAACAAGGCGTCGTATTGTGGTCGTTAAGCAACGAGCTAAGGTCAGGAAACTCATCTCTGGATGTTTCCAGGTAAGCAAATACAATTCAAGTGTACTATATTAGGTTAGCTCCGTTTTAACTGCTTGATGAGAAGTGACAGTCCAATTTAGTGTTTTTAAGCATGTATTTTTGTGCTTCCAGAATACACATTTGAATGACTGTCAGTGAAAATAGTCTCCACAGCAACTAACTAGCAAGCCTTAAGCACTGAAGCAGCTCACTGTCATCAAAATGGCAGCATAAAGACAGTTTTCACAATTTAATAGCTTAAAATGTTGCTGGATTTTCACTGTTCATACAACCTCTTGAATAACCCGTATGGCTGGCTGTGGGGAATTCAATGGATCAGTCTGTGACACCATCAACTCTTCTCATTGTGAATGACGGAGATGTTCGTAAAGGCAAATTAGGTTTTATTTCAGATGTGTTGACAGTCTGTTGAGTGTGATCAAGTTAGGTGTTTGCTACTTAGCAAATTAACCATCTCTGTGGGAACGAAAGAGTAAAATCCAGGAGCTCAGGATAAGACGTCTCATTTTCTCCTTCTCAAGTGATAATTGGGTGCAAACTTTGATGTTCTCATTAGTGAACTTTGAGGTAGGATATTGTGAAGCGTTCCTGTGTTATTCCCCATGATTGGTTATAAGATGAATTGCTTTTTTTTCTTTTTTTTTTTGTTCACCACATTTAGATGTTGTTGCAACAAGCGGCTTAACAGATGCCGTTCTATGCACTTTTTTCTCTCTGGAGGCAAAAACCAGTTGCATTTCACAATTTCTTTTTTGTTTCATTCAATAGGTTTGTGTCATTCTTGTTGTTTTAAATAAATAATAGGAAGATATTGATCAGGCCTGTCACATTAATCAATATATTGTCTGATTGCATGAACATGTGGACATGCCCTCGATCATTTTTGGTTGATGCAATATCGCCCAATTCTTGCAATATTTTAGCTGATTGTCCAACATCTCAATCTCTATTGGAGGAGTCAGTGTAAGCAGGGTTAAAAAACCCCTGTAGTACTTACTATAATTTACAATAGTATATTTTCATGTAGTAGGTGTCTGACAACTGAGAATGAATCTTGCA